TGCGGCAATAAAACTTTAGCACGCTTTTCGACCCATCGGCGCGGCGGGCTGCTCGCGAGACGCACACGTATCTAACAAGTCCCTCCTTCCCTCCTTCCCTCCTGCACCTCCATGCCCAGACTAGCCGGCATTTTGACTTTTAAATAGCCAACTTGATGAGACTGCACCAATGTGCGGTAAATATGCAAAAGGCAGCAACTTGAGTGCGCGAATACATAGACAGACTGCCCCTAATCCCGAGCAGGACTAGGGCATTGGGTATTGCGTTCCGTTTGTTAAGTGACTGGTGCTTATCTCAGGAAAGGGAATACCACCACTACCAATAGTATCAGCTTCTTCAGCACCTGTCCTTCTCCACATGTCCACAGATCTAAGAGTGCATTTTATGTTCAGCTTCGCTGCATGTCCTTAGTGCGTCATTTAATGTTATCCTGCCACGAGCCGGTACCTCCATTTTCGTGCATGACACTTAAAAGTGTCCGCCAACGTTGCACAGTGGCTGGCTTTGGCCAATAAAAGGGATAGCTTAAAGGTTCCCCAGTTTCGTTTTTACACTCAGCACAAATATGCATAAACAAATTAAATTAGGAACTGGGATATAAATACTTTTTTATAAGCTCATCAGGGGATAAACTCATGAGAAATTGAAAACCATATTTAGATTCTGCTAAAATTTTTGCGCTCTCTTATAATTTCATAACTTTGCTTTAATAAAGCTGCTTGTGAGCAGATTCCCAGATACTAGTTATATTCAATTGAAGTGTTATTTAAAACAATAACAATTAGCAGATTTCAACTGATGACTTTTTCTAAAAAGCGCGTCTGATCTCTTCTTAGTACTTTTGATGAGTAATTTGTGTCGCCTAGGATTGTCTAAGCATTTCATTAACATCTTTCTTTCCATCTTTCCATTTTTTCTATTATCTTTAGTCCTTCTTCTCTTTTTTTCGCTTTATTCTCGATTTGTCATATTTTCACTCGATCTATTAGGTGATGTCGTCATCTTCATCTTTCTGATGATTCATCATCAACTGAATCTATTTCTCGTCTTTTTGCATCATTCGTTTCACCATTTTGTCATAATGTTCTTTTGTCTTCTCCTGTTTTCTCTTTATTCTCACCTTTTCATATTTTCACTCGATTTATTAGATAATGTCATCAACTTCGTATTCCTATATGACCATTATATTATAAACATCTTTCAACACCTTTTCTCTTGATTAACTCTCGTCTTTTGTCTTTCTTCTCGATCTAATAGTAATAATCTCCTCGCACTTTATCTTGACTTGGATCTTTCTTGTGTCAACTTGTCTTTTTGCTTTTTGTTCGTGTAAGTCCTTTTCTAGAAAGATGAAAAGACTTACTTACTTACTTACTCAAAGACGACAGAACACTGCGAAAAACTGTAACTTATTTTTAAAAATATAAACAATTTTGGTATAAAAACTTTTTGAATTATGCTGTTAAATAATTTGTTGAAAAGCTGAAACAGTTCATGTTGTTACTATAATTTTGGCAGTATTCTTTATAATTTGTCACAATTCGCTATTTGAGTTCAAATTTCAGTTCTCTCAATGCATTTAATGTCATCGCTGATTTTAGTCAACACTTTCGTACACACACTCCACTGTGACGATGGAAAAAATGACACGGACTGGAAATTGGGGAAGCTTTGAGCCATGGAGGAGCATATAAATACACATAAGTGTGTGCGTGCGAATGGGCATAAGCATAGTTCTTGGGTTTATAGGCGTGTTATTTCATTAGCATAATCAAATGGCTGATCTGTCCCCCATTTCCATTTCCGTTTCCACAAGACAACCCAGATGCCAATTTGCACCTGAACGATCCGGTCGATTGGTTGCTTGGTCTGTTATGATTATGGGTTTTCCTTTCACATCACTTCACATCACAGTTGACGATGTTTTTACAGAGCAGAGTGTCCCAATACCCCCTCCCGTCCCCTCCGCCCTTCCACAACACCTGCACATAGTTGTGCCTTCGATGCCATATCCCTTTGTGCCTTTCACTGCTGTCCCGAATTTGGGGAATTCTTTGCTCAAAACCATCAACTTGCAGGCATTGTCAGCGACTTCAACAACAGACCGTAGCATGCCGCATGTGGCAAGAACTCAGCAGCAAGCAGTGAGCTGCACGCAGCTCGCAGCTCAACTGTTTTCATCATGCCCGCTTTGATTGTCGTAAACGTACCCCAGAGCCGAGCAGAGAAAGGGCTGAGAGATGAACTTGTGGGTTTTGCATGAAATGCACTTCCACTTCCACTAAAGGGTGTCCCTTCAAGAGCTAAAGAACTTAAATTTGAACAGAGTAAAGCCTAGAAAGCTGTTCAATGCATTTTTACAAATTGAATGGACAATACATAACAATATTTTCAATCCAATTCCCCATACACTTGCTGTAGGCCTAGTGTCTTTTTATGACCTCCAGCAACTTATGAGGCTAACCCCGAGCGATTTAAATGAACCATTCCGGGTCTAATTTGCTCAGATGGTATACAGTTTTAATTAGACATAATTGGAAATATATTACAACAATTTGCTCTATGACTTTCCATAATGCTTTTTCAAGCGAATATTAATTGATATTATTATAATAAAATATTAGGGTTTTGTACTTTGAAGGTACAATCAATCGTCTCAGATAATTTATAGCTTTTATTTAATTTCATGTTACTATATATTATCAATTATTATGTAATTTATATATTTAAATAATTGTTATGTAGCTCTCGAGAAGAGTTGCAATTTAGCAGCTCCCATAAAAAAAGGCACCCTCTAAGTGTAGGCAAGATATAACTCAAAATCATGGCACTTAGTCGCCGTCTCTTACCTGTCCCTGCAGGTAGACGAAAAAGTAGTGGCGAGAAGGTGGGTGGGTGTGTGAAAAAAAAGAGAGCTGCGCTGATAGATTTTCGCTGTCTAATTTCCCAAAGTTCCACAACTCAAGCCGGCAATATGTCAAAAGCGCTGCACGGCTTTTCAAGTGCACGTGCCAAAATGAAGCTGGAAGTGTGTCAGGTGGCATTTCCATTGTGAATCCCCGCCTCCTGCTCCTCTTGCCACATTCCTCCTGCAAAGGCTTTGTACCGTTGTCGGTTGCTTTGAGTTATGATTTATGTTAACACCGTTGCAGCCCTCGCTCTAGCCTCGAACGACTTCGGCTTCGGGCTTCAGGCTTCATGTCACTGCTCAAATTGTCTGCATACAACAGCGGATAATAGCGCACTAAAATATGAGCATACAAACAAAGGCAAATGTCTACACACACACACACACGCAGACACGCACACGCACACTCAGCGCCATTCCAGCCCACCCGGATATACTCGCACATACTATAGGTATGTACTTGTACGTCGGTATGGGTATGGACTGACGATGACAGCCGTGTGATGCTGTGGACAGAATCCTGCCATAATTACGACCATAAAGTGGAAGAGAATTTGTAGATACAAACACATATCCAAGCATAGTGCATCTGCATACTATACTCGTATGTATACTTGTATTCCCCGCTCAATTAAAGCTAATATCTACTGCCATCGATGAGCTTCCAGCAAACAGCTATTAGAAGGATCTCAGCCGAACTTGCCACAGTCGCCGTCCCAGTTCAGTTAATGTCCCTCATGGCCTTATCGCACTACACTAATCGCTAGACAAGAAATTTGACTTCATTACGGAAGTCGGAGTGGGAGGAAAATGTCACTAAAAGTGCAGTTTCTGTTGTGCGGTTCGAAAACTTCAAATTTTATTTTATGTTTAGCCTCATAAGGACATTTCATTGCACATTTCCCACAAGATATCCCTCGGCACGAGCTGTTCATTTTGATTTTATTCTTTCTCTTCCCATTTTTTTAAAGCATTTGAAACAAACACAAATAAATATAATAAGACATATGAATCGCAAAGGTAGACTATCGTTTCGATAACTTCATATAATTTATATGATTTAACCAGGTATTGGACTTGGTCCCAACAAAGATCCTATAACTCTTTTATGATAAGTTTGTATAATGGTCTGATCTCGTCAGTCTCCATAGGACATAGAAATGGCAAATATTTCTGGCACCTCATTAAAAATAAAACACTCATACTTCTAATCATATTCATTTAAAAACATGTTAGTTTCTGAATACAGATTAAATACAAAAACCGGCAAAGTTAACAGTAGGCAATGAGATACTTAGGTCCATATCAACATTAATGTTATTAAATGATTTAGGCAATGAAGAAAATACATAAATATTTTACTTAATTATTTCTGAATATGGATTATTACTCTGTTACTTATTGAAAATATTGATGTCGAATTCGACTGATCGGACTGGTCGGACTGATCGCACTGTGTCTTTATTTTACTATTAAGAATGCTTCATTTAAAAAAAAAAAAAATTTTATGTAAAACAGCTATTCAGAAAATGTTGCTCTTGCACATTTTATTAGTTAGGGTTAAAAAAAAAACATTATTCTTCTTATCGCATATAAGACCATATATTTTAAGTTGGCCCGTATTTCCTGGCTGCATTTCTAAAACATATCGCTCCCATAACTAATGCTTCAAGCGGTGATCTGTGTTCCAACGTAGGTTCACCTTGGTTGCTTCTCTATTATGAACATCCTCAATTCAGATATATACATATATAAATAACAAATACATATCACAGCTGGATTAAAGTTAATTACTGCTTTGTTAGGAAGTCTGCTATAACGCTATAATTTCCGCTAGTCGCAAAATGTATCATCTTTCCCTTAGTCGGCATTAGAAATGCTTTAGGACTGACGGGAAAAAAGCTAAGTCGCATCCAATTATATCAGAGTTAAACGGGCTGTGATTTCATCCTAGCAAAGTTGTTACTTCGCTGCGCTTTCCAGCACTGGCTGCAGCTTTTGATAGTTATGGCGGCTGTCTGTCACTTTCGAACACAGTAGAACAGAAAGAAGAATAGAGATAAAGAAAACACAACTGGCTTATGAGGCGCGATGTATGCCGCCGTAAAACCGCTCTCGAAGTATCTTCGTCTGAAGACGGTACGGATATACGATCCGATATTTACGCTACACTCCAAATGCACGATTGTTATTCTGCTGACGTGCACGTTCCTGTTGTCGGCGAAGCAATACTTCGGCGAGCCCATACTCTGCATTAGCTCCGAGAAACATACGGAATACGTGCAGTCCTACTGCTGGACTATGGGGACGTACATATTGCCGGGCGGTGCGGAGAACGAGACTGAACAATCGAAGATATCGGACAGTTTTTTTGAAAGCATGAGCAGCCCGATTAACTTGACGAGCTTGCGCTCTCTGGTCGGACACAACGAGCAATACGCGCGCATCATATCCATAGCCGAAGGAGTTGGTCCAGAGAAGCGGGGCGTTACGAAGCGCCTTTATTTGCGATACTACCAATGGGTATTCATGATACTGCTTTTTCAGTCCATGCTCTTCTACTTTCCCTCGTATCTGTGGAAGGTGTGGGAGGGACAGCGCATGGAACAGCTTTGCTCGGAGGTGGGCGATGCCTTAATACTGGAGGAGACGTACCGAACCCGCCTCCAGATGCTCACCAAATATTTCCGGGCCGAATTCACGAACATTCACTTCTGCTATGCCACCAAGTATGTATTCTGCGAGATACTCAATCTGCTGATCAGCGTAAGTAGTCACCAGTCCCAAAAATAATTGATAGCTGAACCCATTTTCGTCACAGCTGCTCAACTTCTGGATCATGGACGTCGTCTTCAATGGCTTTTGGTTCAAATATATCCACGCACTGGCTGCTATACCTGTTTATGATTGGAACCTTTGGAATTTGATGACCTCGCGCGTCTTCCCCAAGGTGGCCAAGTGTGAGATGTTCGTTTACGGACCAAGCGGTTCACCCAACATTCTGGACTTCCTCTGCGTGCTCCCACTGAACATTCTCAACGAGAAGATCTTCGCTCTGCTCTATGTCTGGTTTCTATTCATTGCCATGTTGGCTGGCATCAACATATTCTACCGAGCGCTGCTCATCTGCAGCTCGGAGCTGCGTCTTCAACTGCTGCGCACCCATCTGCGTGGCATGTCCAAATCGCAGGTTCGCAAAGTACTCTCCAATGCGGGCTATGGTGATTGGTTCGTGCTCATGAATGTCGGCATCAATGTTAATCCGACACTGTTCCGGGAGCTCATGGAACATCTCTACGAGCAGTGCCTTCTGCCTGTAGTGCGCCCAACCAGCCAACCCTCGATCCGTGGCACCAGCGTGCCGAGAGCCAAGGACGTAAATAGCGCGAACGGCGCTGACGAGAGTGATACGAATACCAATAATGGGGCGGATGTGTTGGCACCTCCTCAAATACCGATCACCTTTAATTTGCGGAGCGATAACGAAGAGCAGATGACCAGAAATAGATTCTTCAACGAGAGCCAGGCCTGACCCCCAAACAGAGACGAGAACACGAGCCTTGTCACTAATTATACCTACTTCAAAATAACCGGAGGAGCAACTTCGCTACTTTTCCAGTACTTTTCTGGGTGTATCAAACAACAAAGGTAAACACCGACGAGCATCGAAATTCAAATAAATGCCCTAATCAAAACTAAAACGTGCTTCGGTCTGCTCCCGGCTAGGCGCGGGGGTTACAAGGGGCCGTCCCGCTGACAGCCGTATGCCAAAAACTTAAACAAAGTTGGCAAAAGTTATTCAACATTTTGCTGCAACGGGGAGATGATGATGATGATGGCAAAACTCTGCCGCTGGTTGCCAACAGGTAGAACTAACGAAAACAACATTAAAATGTCGGTGACAACAACAACACTAGCAGCAGCCGTAACATCAACAATAATGCAAATAGAGGCAATGAGAATTGCAGCCACATTCCCTAGCTACAACATAAATATAGTAGTGCTGTGCACTAAATCCTACAGTTATTTCCCCCTTTTCACGATCATTATACATAGATGTTTTTCACGTTCCGAAATTTGGGCTCATATCTATCCCTTAAAAGCTTTTACTTATCTGCCATATGAACGATTGGCGTAAAACTCTCTCTTGTAAGTATTAAAGTCTGTAGTCCGAATATTCAACGAAATCGGTGCGCGATTTCATAAAGTACTTATAGCTGCCGAACCTATCTCAGCTAAAATACCAAATTCCTTTTTGTTTATCTTGACATTTTCATTAAAATTATTAATGTAATTGTCGCTCTATTCTGATATAAAATGGAATTCAATGCACTTCAACACTTTGGAAGGCCTATTATAATTAAAGGACTATAACACAGAGAGAGGTAACTCTAGTAATTAAAGCTTCCATAGCTTGTAAGCTTTTAAGTAAGATCTTTTCGGAGATGTCCAGAATTTATGAAAACGAAATCAACAGTTGGAAAGAAATATTGTTACCTCCATTTAACAGGAAAAGTAAAGTCAAACTGCAGTTAAGGTTTAACTTTCGGCGCTTTCGGTGTTCTATTATTAGTCTGCTCTTTAATCTTTCAGCAAGTAGTTGTTTTTTTTCTCACTAATGATACTAATTCTTAAGTATTTTTCATTTAATAATGATAGCAACGCGTCGTAAATTGTAAGCTCTGTACGATTTTCAGGCTAGTTTTTATCATTAAATAGGTAACTTTTATTACTTATGTATTTGATTTGATTGAGTTTAAAACACTCTTTTCATTAACATAATTTTTAAACAAATTTTTGAAATTCTCCGATTATCTGAACATTCGAAATTTCGAGAATTTTGATTGACAGATTTCTTGAAATCACGCATGCAGTTCTCTACTATACGTATGCGAGTAGTACGCATTATCCAACATCCAGCAGGAACAGCAGTAGCAACAACTACAACAATAAGAACGGCTATAACAAGAACAACAATGTAAAAGTCGACAGGAAGTGCAACGATAGCGCTCAAAATGCTAAAAATAAACATTACCATTACTTTGCAGTGGAAAAGTGCGGAGTGACGGGGGGTCGGAGGGGGGAGACGTGCAAAAGCACAAAATAAACAAAGTTAATTTTAATTAAAAACCGCAGGAAACCGAAAACAGCAACAACAACAACAGCAAAATGCTAGTTAAAATGGGCGGACATGGGGGCGTGGCATCTTTTTGCATATTCATGTAATGTGTCAAATGTTATAGTGATGGGGTGTGGCTGATGGTGTGCGTGTGTGTGTGTGTGTGTGTGCGGAAGGATGGAGGAAGGCTGGTTGCCTGCAGCCACAAACAAATGCAGACAGTCGTTAGCCAATCTTCCCCCCCCCCCCCCGTGCCACCGTGCCCCGCATGCCCCACAGCTATAAAGACACCAAAATGAAAACTTAGAAAAAAGACACGTGTAAACAACGGAAGAAAAAAGAAACTCTGGTATTTTCAGTAACACCCACAAGCATTAAAGGATATGCCATGCAGGTAAAACAGTTAGGGCTGCAGCAATGGCTTTCTAAAGAGGTAACACCCTGGCAATTCAATATTATTAAAAACTGTAGAGACTCGAACCCAAAAGTTGACGCATCTATAGACCTAACCAATGACTCCCACGTTCAAATGAGTATAAACTGCAATAACTAACTAACTACAACTTAATACAGCCTGTTGCAAAAAGCAAAAAAAAATACAATAGACATTTAAATACTTGGTACTGCTCCAATAAACCAACAATGCTGAAGATAATAAAAAAAAAAATACATTTTAACTAGTTTTCAAAGAATTTTACCTCATTTCTAAATTATTAACTGATTATTCTCTGATTAAAATGGCAAAGATGTAGCTGGCCTTGTTCTCTCGAGAAAAAATACTTATGCTATTTTCTAAATTCTTACCAAGTGCTTTTATAGAATACTTTAATTTACAATGAAAAAATCAAGATTTTTCGTAACTCCATACAGTTTAGAAGCTGGTTGACTGTTTTTGACGGAGAATTTTATATTTTACGATGCACCTACAATTATATACTTCTTTTAAACAAACTGAACTTTTGAAGAAACTTTCAAAACTACTAAATATAACGTTGGGTTACAATATCGTTATGGCAATAACACATTTTGCACCGATAATATCTATATTATATATATCAGCCATTTCGAAGACCTTAGTGAGGCATTATTTCGAATTTTGCACCGACTGCCCATAGATAATATGGGGCTACCAGCCAAGTTCAGTCTTTTTAGCTTTATTTCAACAGTAATTGATGCTCGTACGAACGGATGTCTGCCCATCCGATGGACTGATTATTATTAAGAAAATTATACACTGTTTTATATTAATATGGGCAGTGGCTGCAGACTAACATCGACTAAATTACAAAAATATATGCAGTGTGTATGCATATTTGGAAATTTGGATGGCATATCTATTCAAGAGGGCTCGGAGCTTACCTTGCCTTGGGCCATGGGTTGGCCAAAATGCAGAGCCCAGTCACCGCGAAATGGAATGGAATCAATTTTTCATCAAAATTTTTGAGCACGCACCACACACCTGTCGACGACGCCATTCCGGACACCATAGCCGATGCATATGAACACGCAAACACACACTATACTGGCATATACTCGTACTCGTATCTGCCGAGGCTGGGTTGTGGGTTCGATTTTGGTTACAATGGCGGGCTTGGACCGCATCGCATTGGAACGCAACGCAACATGAAACCCAAAAATGTAATTGAAAAGTTATTTTGTTACACGTGGCCGAGGCTGTTGTTTCATTTGCTTTGTTTACACGCTGGTCTGGTCCGTCTGGTTCTGCACTCGTCCGGCACCCGCATTCCCCCGATCCTGTGGGCCGCCCGTCGGCCACCGCCAGAGAGCTTCCGAGTTGCGCATTGTCGGTAATTTTGTGTGCGTACCAACCAAATTTTAATTAATTCGTACTGTGGCAAATTAAATTTAACTTAAAACGTTTCGTATTGCAAAATTTAGATCGGCATGTGGTCTACAACAATGGCTTAAAAGCAGTTACAACCGCCACGCCCCTCCACGCAACGCCCAGCCCCGCCTCGTCACCACACACATACATACATAGATATACACCGCCAGCACGGCTTAGTGGAGGCTTTCTTATTAGCATATAAATGGCATTCCACCCCGAAATAACATTTAAATAACTCTTATATGTTTATTTATTGACTTAGCTTTAATTGCCCGGTGCCCGACCTCCGCGTAATTTGACACTCTTGTTTGGGTCAACCCGGCCCGCCCCAAGATCCTCGCTCAATTAAGATGCCAATTCATTTTCCATTTACGACACAGCTGCAAAAACACAAAGCCAAACTCCAGCCCTCCATCATAATTAAGCATTTAATTATTTGACGAGGTTTTATCGATCCTGAGACATCTTGTAAGAGTTGTGGCTACACAAATGGACTTCTGGATTCTGAAATAAATGAAAATAAAGCTTTTTGATTTCTACAAGATTGAGTTCAGAAATGTCCAGCACTTTCCACACACGTGGGCCTGAAGGGGTCTCTCCCTTGGTTCCGCTAATGAGCCTAGTCAATTGCACAATCTCCATTTTTGGTATATCTGTGAGATCATTTCGGAAATCATGAGCCTTCTTCCCCTTCCTTGTCTCTATAGCTTTTACGAAAACAAATAAAACGCGCTTAGTGGTTTTCGTTTTCAAAAATATACTTTGTATTTATGGTGAAAACCGTCACAATATAAATATAATTATGGCTTTAATAATTCTATAATTCATTGTTGTTTACTCTTAATTATAGTAATTATTTGTGCATAACTACTTAATGTTTATTTCTATTGCTATTTCAGAATACAATCATTTCAACTGTTGAAGCACTCACATTTTTGTTGATAAACGATTTAAGCGCTGAGAAATGAATATTTTAATATTGTTGCATAAACATTCATACATACTAACTAGTAGATGGCTGTGTATAAACATATTTAATTTGATTTATTTAAAATTGTGATTGCAGCAGTTAACGAGCACAACAACACCAGCCCGGACGGCATTAAGGCTAATGGTTTGCATTTTCAATATAGCATTGTTTAAAATCAAGTCCAAGCGGACGCACCAGACACAATGGTGTTGTGAGCGCAATGCCTTGGATGTTGGCAATTTTAGCACACACACATTGCCAACCAGGCAGACAGGTATGTGTGTGTGTGTGTGTGTGTGTGTGTATGTGTATGTGTTCGTACCTATGGCCGGTTAAGAGCAGTCTTTTAACTCTATTGGCAACTGATTAGCATTTAAATTAAAATGTCGCAAAGTGGCCTTAACAAAATGTTGCTATGTATGAAGCGTGTGCGCATAGTTGTGTGCGTGTGTATGTGTGTGTGTAGTATCCTTTTTTGCATCGCTGCTGCCTGATATTCCTGGCTATTGTCTCTCTGGTGTCATCTGTTTATGCCGCCGCCGAGATTGCGCTACTCCTGCCCTTCTTGTCCCGTCTCGCCTCGCCTCGTCACGACCCGCCTTGATTGCCTTTGTGTCGTCGGCCATACACGATATTGAAGCGATATACATAGCTGCGAAACTTCAAAGAGCACTTCATTATAAATATTAATTGTATTTGTATGAATAATTTTGATCGGTTTCGTTATTTGTGCGCCCCACTCATCGCTAATTCTGATGAGAAATAAAACACGCCCTCATCTCGAAACCAATTGGTTTTTTTATTGCAACAGCCAGTTGGCTTTAAGCCAAACCGACATACATACAAGTTATCGTCTTTCATAATGATGCATATAGAAAATGTTTAATATTGAAAAATGTAATCGTGTAAAAGGCACAGCTCAATAAAGGCAATGTCAATTGTAAAATGGCACGTCCTGCTGAAGGAAGAAGGCACTTCCCGGCACATCAGCTAATACTTTTCCCAGGCCTCTGCTTCTTCGCTATAGTTTTCAAAGTACTTTGTATCGGTGGGCGATGAAAGCGGTAGCTCAAATGGTGATTTCAAGGATAGCGCTTGCAAGCTCTTCCAATCGAATTCAAAATACCACCTTTAAATAAAATAGAACAACAAATAATTTTGATCGATTATAACTTCTTTGGAACTCCAACTCACATAAAGGGTGAGAGCTGGAAGTAATTATCAAATTTGATTTAAAATTCCAAGAGTTACGGGAGTTAAGAAAAATCAGTAAAAGCGAGGGAGTGGTGGAAAGGAGGACATTTTTGAAATATACTTGTACTGCGTACACATATAAGGTATCTGTGTGTCTCTAGCTCTTATAGTCTCTGACAACGAGGTTTTCATACGCACAGAGTTATGGAAAACCATTAATAGCGGGGAAGCGGAGGTGCATCATAAAAAATTTAAATAATGATTGGCAACATCGAGATTTTCTACTCATACTTAGGCGAGGAGCGTACAAAATACACAGACCAGTGATTTTTAATATCCTTCATGCCATTTTTCTGATATCCAAGACGATGTAGAGGTTCAGGACAACAAAGATTTTTTATAAGATCCACAGCACATTCAGGCATATCTATTGGAAAGCAAACTTCATCAATGCCCTTTAATATAAGATCGTACGTCTTTTCCGGGCTGTCTGCAATAAATGGTGCCCTGAAAATAGAAATTCTGTAGTTGAGCTTTAAAATAAATATATAAATAAATAACAATTATAAAAACATATAAGTTAAACATACGTGGAGTTCAGTAGATCATATATTAATATACCCAGGGCCCAGTAATCAACTCCATAGTCATATCCTTTCTTAAGTATGGCCTCTGGCGCCATATATTCGGAGGTGCCACATAAAGTATAGCTTTTGGTATTTGGATTCAAATATTTTGCAATGCCAAAATCAACCTGAAACACATACATACACATACACGTATGTGAGATTTTGACGCACTTCTTTGAAAATAATGGAACATACCATCTTTACATATCCATTGCTGTCAAACATCAAATTCTCCGGCTTCAGATCTCTGTAAACAATATTGCGGGCATGCAAAAATTCGAGTGCCTCAATCACACAGGCCGATATGAATTGCGCATTGTATTCTGGCAATCCGCCATTTCTGCGCAGAAACGAAAAGACTTCGCCCCCCAAGCAGGGCTCCATCAGCAAATATGTGCATCTGCTATCCTGCAACGTTTTATGGAGGTGACAGATGAAGGGACTATTGCATTGCTCCAAAATTTTGCATTCGTTATCAATACGATGCCGTTGGTCGCAAGAATTGATGTCCATCTTCTTAAGACACTTCATCGCATAGACATCGTTGGCATGCGTAACGAGATTTACGCGTCCAAAGGCGCCCACACCCAAAGTAGCCACAAATTTCAGTTCACTAAGCTGCATGTCAATGTCCATACTGCAGAAAAGAAAAAAATAAAACACTTTATAAGATGCTAGTAATTCATTATATACTTTTAAGTACAATGTTTCGATGCACTGCGACGCCTCACAAATTATTTAAAAAAATTTTTTACCTTTTCTTTACAGTAGCAAATACTATTGGCCCAATAACCTCAATCTCTTGAAAAATGTCAATTGTCAAATTTTACCGGCGTTGGTGCGTTTTTTTTCGTTTCAGTTACATTACAAGAGCTATCGAGTGCATCGCATATTCCTGTTAGAAGTCGCAGTGTTGAAAAGTAGGACGAAGTAACTAAGTATATCTAAATTAAGATATTGCTTAACTGATTTTTGGAAGGTAAAGAAAAGGTATTATCAGCAACCATTTACTTTGTATCGCTTTGAAAAGCTTTCCTTACTGAAAATCCGCAAAATACGAACTTCAAAATGAAGTGATCACGCATACAAGCGTTTCAAATTGTTCCTTATAATCTCATTATTCTAAAATCATTATTCTCATTATTCTAATGGCATTTAGTAAAAACATTTTGCTGACTTTGTACTGTGAGCACCCCCTTTCCCTAAAAAGGAGAAATCATCTTCTCAACTTAATCAACTAAAAAAATGGTCTATATTATTCATTAATAAATACTTTCAAGCGAATTCTAGCTTAAAAATTAAAAAGGCCCAGCGTTACCATTAAGTTCAATAATATTTCATTTCAAATCAAAATGCTTTTTCACTTAATTCCACAGATCTTAATAGACTTATTTATATGATTTTCTCGGTAACTGTTATTGCTATTAAATATTCAAAATCAAACAGCAGAATTGAACAGCTGTTATCGTATCGTAGCATGAACATTGCATACTCCGATACATTTGATTCATCGATTATTAATCAGTGAATTATCGATAGAATTAGAAGTCTTGCAACCGCACGTGGAAGCACGCAGTAGTTAACTAAAAATGGAAGTGGAAAATATAAAAGTCGATGCATTTGTGCCAGCCAAAAAGGCTCAGAAACGTAGTGCCAATGAGGACACCGAAATGCAGATTGACGGAGAGCGCCCACGTTCCTCAGCACCAACAGCAAAACGCATACGCAGCGAAATGCGTAAAATCTCTGTGCCTCCCCACAGATACTCATCACTCAAAGAGCATTGGATGAAGATATTTACACCTGTTGTGGAACATATGAAGCTGCAGATACGTTTTAACATGAAGGCACGCCAAGTGGAGTTGCGCATTGGACCCGAAACTCCAGATATTGCGAATCTGCAGAAGGGCGCTGATTTTGTCAAGGCATTTCTTTGTGGATTTGATGTGGACGATGCATTGGCGTTGCTACGACTTGAGGACCTCTTCGTAGAGACCTTCGAAATCAAAGATGTTAAGACGCTGCGTGGCGACCATCAATCACGCGCCATCGGCCGCCTGGCCGGCAAAGGAGGGCGAACTAAATTTACCATCGAGAATGTGACCAAGACGCGCATTGTACTCGCCGATAGTAAGATTCACATCCTGGGCAGCTATCAGAACATCCAGTTAGCACGCCGTGCCATCTGCAATTTGATCCTAGGCTCACCACCCAGCAAGGTATACGGCAATCTGCGTGCCGTTGCGACGCGCTTGTCGGAGCGCATGTAAATGGTAGTGGCTGTGATCATGGACTAAGCGATTAATATTTGTAAGATTGTTTTTTTTTTACACTTTAATAATAATAAATAAATACACCGTACAATTTTAATGACTATCTAGAACTAAACATCCAAACAAAAAAGCTTTAAACGTGCACTCACAATTTCGTGAAGATCAGTAGCAACAGCATGAGGAATGTGGCTACAGCCAGTATAAGAATAATGCACATCTTGCGATTCTTGCGCTGATACATATCGGCGCGTTGCAGTTGCCGAAGGCCCTCAGAGACGCGTGTTTGCGTCTGCTCTACATTGTAGTCGATGCGATCCAAAACTGTGCCTTGTTCTTGTACCATGTGGCCGAGGTCCTTGAAGATGTCGTTGAGATCGTAAATAGATCTGACGATTTTCATCACCTCCTGCTCGCGATGCTGGGCAAGACGCGAATTCTCCTCCTCGAATAGTAATAACTGCTGTTGGGTCATGCGATTGGCCAATGGTTTCTTGAAATTTGCATCAATTTCCTGTTGGTCGTCATCTTCGAACAAATAGACCTTGTTTCCAGCAGCTCCTGCTCCTTCCAGCGGCTGCAGAAAGTTGTCGAATGTGTCCACAAAATTAGTGCTTTCATTGTCGCCGGAGCTGCCAACACCGCTAAGTTCCACATTTGTGAATTCGCCATTGTCAAAGTATTTCTGGGAACGCTCCTCTCGTGAATTCATCTGCACCAAATAGCTGTTCTGGCTGCTGCGGAACTTAAACGTCAGCTCCTGCAGCTGCAGCAGCGCACATTGCACTGCATTGGTCGTCAGACGCTGCTCCACGTTGCTGCCTACACCAAGGCTAGAACGCACGCATTGTATGTGCCTATGTGTGGACATGATGAGCTTCGATATGATTTGACTCAGCACCTCTATTTCGCACTCATCGTCCCTTTGGTCGTCGTCGAATGTGGGCCGTAGCAGGTGTCGAGCATGCAGCGAGCCCAGTTCATCGAGCTTTGGCTTGATTCTGTACGCAAACAAAGCATTTTGTTTTGTCTTTTAAGTTAAATGATGAAATATTTTCTCTTACTTGGACATTGTGTACTGCGCCTCCTCGAATTTGTCGAGCCACGCAGGTGGTGTGCCGTAGTCATCTTGAAGTTCCAAACCCTCTTCAACTTCGCGCACTGAATGCTTCAACAACCTTTCTGCGTCACCGCCGCGCTACAATCGCATACAAAAGTGCAATAATTGCATTGAACATACTCGTATATACATACATACATATGTGTATCTGCATACCATATGGTTGGCCACAACTTACCCGTTCGTCGACGTAATGACTGCGATTTTTGTTGGCATTGTTGCGCATAATAACAAACACCTCCGTTAAATTTCGGGAAGTCATTTTTACAGAGTGGGGATTGTTTTTCTAGGCAAGGTGAGACAACAAATAACTACATCTTTTACAGACTTCTGTGATTTCGCAAACAGCTGCGCCGTCTTCTATATATCTACATCGCGAGTCAATGGTATCGGTAACGCTATCGATATCAGAAACGTTGTAGAATTTAAAATACTACAAAAATACTGCTTTAGTCAGTAACGCGGTAAATACTAGACAACGGTTCTTTTTTAAATTTCAAATTTAACCTTTGATGTAACTGTTACATTAACATATTACATTTCTTTTTTAAATTAAAACTTTTTTTTTACTTTATTAAACATGCACGTCTAGTTAACCATAATATAGTCCGCTGCAAAAAAAGAGTACTCTTTATTACTCTTTGTATAAAATATACATTTGTTCATCTTCAAGGTGAACCTTTTATTTATATTTTTCAGCATTTTCAAAAAAAAAACACAAAACATTTTTATATTTTTTCTTGGCACTTTATTGCAATTTTAATTTGTTCATTCCTTTTATTGTTTAATAGAATAATGTAAAATTATTAGGTAGGTACTATTTCTATTATGTACGTGTGCTTTACTCATTTGAACTTGATTATAATTTAAATTAGTACAAATTTTTCAATTACATACATATGTATAGTTAACTAGTTATATAGTAGTTAATAGAATTAGTTGTTTTATTATATTAATTTTTACATTAGGTATTACAATAAGGATTTTAAAAAAGTATATATACATAAGATATATATAATATACTCGTATGCAAATACATAGGTACATATCGTCGGTGTCTGTGAGAGAAAGCCCGTGACTCTTTTGAAACTTCAATTTTCCGGAAAAGCCCTACTTTGAGATTCCTTGTACCCTGTTAACTTCTTACCTCTATGAATAGATAATTTAATGGGCAATGCAAATTTCAAATACATGGATATTGAAAGAAATGAAAAACCTAAAAACACTGTGGATATCACTTTTTACAACTATTAACAATCGATTTCGCGGATATTCCTACAAAGAAAAATCGGGTTTGTAATGAATTACTTTTGGGGTTGGTCGTTTTTCTGAACACCGAAACTTGTAATGGAAAACTGCTCAAGTTTAAAAAATATTTTGGAAATTATGTACAAGTTTTCAATATTTTATGAGGACTATTCAATAAACTGGGTTCCTACTAAGATCTTATATTGAATGCGACCATCAAGTATTATTAAATTTTCTTTGTACACAACGGAAATATTTAATCTGATTTTTCACATATCTTATTAAGGATTTTTATTTAATTTCTAAAGATTTATTTGTTGAAGCAAAAAAAATTGTGTTGCATTGAAAGCTGTCTTTCTTTTCTTGACAACGAAAATATGATATCGGATATATTTTTTCGTATCTAGATAAAAAAAAAATAAGTTAATTCATAAACAAAAAAATTAGAAATTATTTATTTTATGTGCTTTGAGCAGTTATATAAATATAAACCATTAATAAAAGTACTGTTACATGATTTTCTAGGCCTCAAAATTTCTAGGCACAAACTATTTTATGAAAATTAAGTTCCATTTGTTTATCTTTTAGGAAAAAACACCTCGATCTAGACAGTATTTAGCTTGAGTCTGGGACAACTATATACTTTATAAATTACTGTTAAAAAAAAAAGATTGTAAAAAAAGCAATTTATAATTATTTTAAATCTGGCACTGGCCTATACCAGAATTGAAATCGAAACATGCGCACCAAGTGCCTGTTTTGAACCTTGCTCGTGAAAGTTATCGAAGGAATAGAGTTGGATTATACATAATAAGTACATATATGAAGGAATGAAATAACAAGAAGTAAGATTAAATAATAAAGTGACTCTAACGGCAATGAGTGGGGAAGTCAGAGGCGACAAGACAAACCGGACGCTTTCCGTTAACCGTTGATTAAGTATTGGCCTTTCATCTTTATTTGCTGCTTGTCAAATGAAACTAAAGCCGGGCCGAGGTGATCAGAGCAGGATGAACGATCAAGTGGAACCGCGCGGTTGGCACATCAATGGACTGTTCTAATTTTACTTTCGCGGGCCAAAGGCGCTACGGACCTCTATGATGGTGGTGGCACCGGGACCAGAGCTTCGTCGACCCTGACCCTGATCGGTGTACATAATGGGCCGTTTATCAGCCATTAGTGTTGACTCGCCATAGCCATCGTTGCTGCCACTGGCAATGCTCTGGCGCATAATGCTCGCCGTGTCCTTGTTGAACTCAATGGAAACGGGACCACTCGAGTCTAGGGAGTACTTGTGCTGCAACGGATACTTGCTGGACCTGCCCTGCTCCTCGTCGCCATGGATAGCCCGATAGAGGTCAGGGGCCTGTTGGTGTAGACCGCGCAGATAGAGCTGTTTCTTGTCCTCGTGCTCGGATCCACGCCGCCTAGAATTGTCGCGTTGGCCACCGCTCTGGTAGAGATCGTCGTCATTTCCGGTAATCTTAGTTAAATCCTTTTGGCTGCGACTTATCAGATTCACTATAGAGGGGCTTTTGAGGCCGCTCTTCAACGAGTTGTCCTTACTGCTGGAGAACAGATGCGGATTCGATTTATATGCCTGGCTTGCCTGCAAATTTCCGCCATAGTAGTGTGCAGGCTGTTGTCGGTGTTGGCTCTGCTGTTGCAAGCCATAGCTGCTGCTGCTGTTGTTGTTGTTGTTGTAGTTGTTCTTCGTTAGTTTCTCGATGTATATGGGACTAGGATCGTTACTGCCGTTCATGCCGTGTATATTAAAGCTTTTGCTACGGTTCAGTACTCTAGCATAGGTGCGCGCCGGCTTGGCGGGCCCTTTGAATGGTGGTTGTTGTTGTAGTTGCTGCTGCTGCTGCTGGGATGGCGTCAAGGCGCCTAAGTATGGCCGCTTGTCCGGCTCTACACTCTGTCTCTGGTCCTGCTGAGCGACACCTCGTTGTGACAGGGGCTGGTGCGTTCGATACTGGCTGTGTTCGTGAAGCTTACGTGGCAGCGTCTGCACGGAACGGTATTCCGGTTGTAGGCTCAGATTTGGGGTGCTTCCAGTGAAGCGCTGACCGTGCTTTTGATACCGACCCAAGGTATGCGTAGTGGAGGTTCTACCCGGCCCAACACCACTCCCAACCGCAGGCCCAGTCCTGGGAGCGTAGTAATCGTTTTCATCTTGAGCGCGCTCGACGCTGTTCTCATAACGAGGCTCAGTGCTGCGTTTCCGGTGCCGGCCACCAAACGCCTGACGCTCATAAATATTCTCCTTACCATACAGAGTACTGGAGTACGGATCTTCACCCAAGTAGTATCGTTGGGGTGGACTTGTTACATGGTCTATATGCGGGTCAGCCGATTCAGCACGCTTAAAGCTTTTCAGGGTACTCTGATGGCCCGGAAAGCTGCGCGGCTCTGCCTTGATGGGCTCTCGTTCCCGTTGCTCCGACTCCGTCTCTGACTGGTGGCTGCTCGAGCTGGAACGGCCACCCGTCTGGCCGCCTCCGATGTGTCCATCGATAACGTTGTACTGCTGATAGGTGGTTAGGTTTCGATCGGCCGTGCTGGTAGCCCCAGTACCCGCAGCAGCACCTACTCCTGTGCTGGGTGATTGCTCGCGTGATTTACTCGCGGAGGACTTCATGCGGAACTTGCGCTCGGCACTGGCCGAACGAATTTTGTTCACCAGCTTACGCAGAGAGTTTCCAAGTACCTGACCCATTTTGCTTTGCTTGTTGGTGCTAGCTGAGGAGATGTTCGACGTGGAAGCCGAGACCGGGGTTTTGGTGGGCCGCAAGGTGCCAGTGGCCGTGCCGGTGCCAGTGCCAGTTCCAGTTCCGGTACTAGTGCCACCGTTATGTGAGGGCGGGTAGCTGGATGTGGGCGCAAACCGTGTGCGCTGTTGTGGCTTACGTGTGGGTGTGGGAGCCAACACATAGTCCACCTGCGGAGACGAGGAACGACTGCGCGGCGGTGGTGAGTAGTCCGGCGGTGGCTCCAGCTGCGACATCGGTAGCGGTGCTGTCTTTAGAGGTAGCACATGCTTCTGCTGTTCGCTGAGCTTCTTTTCAATGGCACGTCGGCGTTGCGGTACCGTGGGTCGGCCCAGATTCTTAGTACTTCCAATTAACTCCACGGTGGATGGCTTCGAGTAGTTGTAATCGGGCGTTTCCAGCGCCCGAGCGCTGGCCACACCATTGCTCACGTTTTTAAGGGCCCGTCCAGTACCAATATGATGATCATACCCTTGAGAGTGGATTGGAGTTTGGCCATAGGCCACACGTTTTTGTGAGGGCTCTTCGTTTCGTGGGGTAGGCGCCGCTCCTCCTATCGGGTGGCTACTGGTGTGTGCTCTTGGCACCGGTATTGTATCTAATGCGTCCAAGGTAATGCGCGACCCACGCGCCGATTTGGCCAGGAACTGTGATGACAAGCTCTGACGCTTCTGCTGCAGTATGTCCTCTCGACTGACGTATCTGTCGTTGCCAGGTTCGCCTGCCCCGCTGCCCGCGGCGCTTATTTTCTTTTTCAGGCCGTTGCGCTTAATCGTCTCCTGAAGATCGTCGCGAAACGCTTGGGAGGAAAAATGATTACTGGGCATCTCCTGGCGTTCGTCCCAGTTTGATATGCCCTGAAAATATTTTGACCTGGTGGCACTCTCCTTTGCATACTTGCGCTCTAGGGTTACTCCCCCACCGGCCAAGGTCGTTTGTCTCTCCGCAGCACCATGGGCTGCGCTGCGGGGCAGCGTCTGGGGCTGCTGTTGTGGCTGACTGGCTGGAGCCTGACTGGGCATCTGACTCTGCGACTTAATGGTGACATTGAAGTAGCTCTTCTTTGTTGGTTCCACCTCCCCGTCATCGTCACGTGAGTCATTCGAAGCGGTCGACTCGCTACCAAAGTGCGACTCCAGCCACTTCATGGTCTCACCTTTGCGTGTCTCTTCCTCCCGATCAAAATCTAAGGGCCGCTTGGTTAGCGCATCCTTGCGATCAGCCAACAGCGCCACCTCTGCAGACGAACAAAACGCAAATAAATACGGGACATGAATGCACACCATGGTCCTGCCCACTTACCTCTCTGCTGCTGCAGCATTACTTTTTGCTGCTGTGAGCGCCGTAGCTTGCGCATGCGATCCGACAAGCTATCCCAATCGCCTGGCCGCTCCAGCGACCCTTCCTTGTCCATTTGCATCGTTTCGGCGGCGTAGCGCATTTCGGTGCCCACCACTTTACCGTCAGCTACAAGGTCTACATGTTGTTCATCACGCTGCTTGAAGTAGCGTTGTGAGGCTGCCTACAAACCAGACGAAACGCATAAAGAAGATCATCAACTTCGCCCATAAACTTTTTCTTCAAAGGCTTGCTTACCGTAGTCTTCAGTATATCGAGGCTGTCGTTGACGGCACTATCTTCGGGCAACTCCTCGTCGACAATCAGCTCATGCGTGGTAGTCCGATTGCTTTCAGTCACGAGTGTGCCGTCCACTTGGGCCAGACAACGCTTTTGCGTGTCCTCCGAGTCGATTGTCTTTCGCGACTTGCTCGTGTTGGCAATAAGTCTAGGACCCAGGGGCACGAGCTGTTGCTGGCTAGCCGGAGAGCACAAAGCTGCCTCTAGGTCCTCGACACCATCGCGTACGGCACTTACGTAAGTCTGTAAGAAGAGAGAAAATCGTTTGCTAAGTCTTTGTGGTCTTTTTTAAGTAACCACCCCATGGGGTGACTGCCCCTCAATGATTGTAACAAATTATTTATTTTATAGCTCAACTCTCTTTCGATCAGTTCGTTAAGACCTTAAATTAATTAGCAACAAATTAAAGATCTAACAGTGCACTCAACGGCCTATTGTTGTGACCAAAATCAATCGAGTTGGCTACAGTTTTTTCGTTCCAAATAATTAAATAAGTTTTTTGGGCTCAATGGGTTAGCCTTGGAGGTGGGTCTTCTCTGAAATAGCCAAGCTCGATCCTTGTGGAACAACCCATAGGAACTAGAGTTCTATTACCATTTTTAATTCCCATAGCGGAGCCCTTGGACTGATCACTAGGGTTGCTAGCTTCAATTCCATCGGACATTCTCGAATACTCCGGTTAATGCTAATCTTTTTTAAAACCCTCTTTTGTAACCGTAGAACCCTGCCATTGAATCGATCCTTTAATCTACACAAGCTATGACTTTACTCGGGTCCTAGAAACCTCTTTTGAAGTCGCCTGAGTCAGTCATTCGATCATTGTGGAACTCTACGTTTCATTCAAAATTGCATAAAGAGAGTTTAGGGTATGCTATAGTCGAGTGCACTCAATAATAGCATTCTATAGTGTTATATGCTTAAAAATATGCAATCTACATTGTATGTTATTCGAGCACATTCAGACGGATGGCGTAGCGGATGAGGTAGCGGTAGGTGGAAGGGTGAGGGTAGTGGTGCGGACATACAATGGTCATGCAATGGATATATGATGATAGACTGAGGAGGGGTGGGCAGGTAGAAGGGGCCGAGGTAGCGCCAAGTGTTGGCCAACTTGAAGCAATAAGAATGCGTACCGTTGCGTCAAGGTTGACGAGCTGGCTTGCTTGTTTGCTTACATCTTCGTTGCGTCAAGGGGCGTGCAATGGACGACGGCCCAAAAATTATATATGGATATCAAATCTCAAGCGCCCTTTCATTTCAACATGCTCGTACGAGTACTCGTATAACTTCTAGTATAGCGCATTCAGTATTCGTTGCACGAGAAATCGACGCGTCGCGATTGTAGATCGACATCGGCATCAACATTGCCATCAACATCCACATCCACATCGCCATAGCCATAGCCATAACCATCTACCAAGCCACTCAACTCGTTTTTGCCGTTTCGACTTTGGATACGACCTTGTTTAACGGTGACGAGCGTAGAAAGTGTTTTGTTTTAAGCTTATGGCAAAAAAAAACTTGAATGTAAACAACAGCAACATCAGCAACAACAACAGCCACAACAAACACTCCATGGTGGGGTGAACGTTGCTACACTGTCACTGATTTTATTGCTCATCGAGCAACATTCATTAGGCACGATTCGCTAAATATGTATATACATATAGTAGTATATCTATCTGTCTCTATACACACACACACACACACACACACACACATACCCATTAACATGTGATGTGCAGTTAGTGAAGTTGATTGAGTTGATGATTGAGCGGATGATGGCACCTAAAGCTGATCATCAATTACCATTACCGAGATGACGCCAAAGACAAAGACAAAGACACAGCCTCATTCGCATGCGCATGCGCAGACGAAAGACTTAGACCGACATTGGCGTAGGTCAAAACAATTCTCTATGTATCGGTGCTCGCCATCCGAATGCCAACGTAAAGTTGAGGGTCTCGCCAAATTTGCGTTGGCATACAAGTTATGGCAACACAAACAAATACTTACGCGTATGATCGTACTATTAATCGCTGCTCTCAAATTAGCAAGGCATGTCTTTTATGGCGCTAAATGAAACGGGCCATGGCTTAACGATTCCATACCCACAATAGATGGCCAACACTCTTTTCACACTCTCTGCCCCACCAAGGATAGCAGAAATATACACACATACGTGTATACGAGTAAACCAGAAGTTCCCACACTTAATGCTCAGAACCTGAACCTGTTGCTGTTATTCTAAATTCAGATGCATAAACGACCTCTTGGCGAAGTGAAAAATTGAATGGCGAAAGCAAAACTACTTACAACTCACAGCATTTCTGGCATCAATTCCATTTTAAAAAAAAAAAGCTATTCAGAATACGGAGTTGATGGCTCAGTATTTGCACTTTTCATTAATTAATATTAAAAAATATTAAAAACACAAAATCTTTATCGCAGCCTATTCCTATTGCGCTCTTGACTTATTGATCAAAATAAGTTTAAGTTTAGGCCGGTTAGGGACTTTGTATCAGAATATCTGAAGAAGTCTTGGCTATCTTATCTTAAACAGTATATTTATCTAATTAATGTATTAATCAGCTTTGGCGTTTATTAATCAAGTTTCATTTCATACTTACTAGTTTAAGTAGTTTTAAAATTATTAAATCGGGTATTGGCTCTTGAATGGGTTTCGGTTAAGTGCTTTAAATGAAAAGCGCAGAGAAGGGCTGTGTTTACTTAATCGTAAACAATATTTTATACACATAATTAGTAGCTAAAAGGTACAAGTGGCTGCTTTAAGAAACACACTGGAGGTCCATATGTTTTAAAATATTACTCAATTGAGTCTTTCATATTAATTTACTTAAATCATCCGATTGCAGCTTAAACTGGGTTGAAACTGGGCTGTTTTTAGTTAATTTAAGCGTTAATATTGTGTAATTAATGTGATTAAATCAAAAACGCCTCAAAAACGACAAATTAGACAAGGTTGTGCCAAAATTTGAAAACATTCGGGGATTTATGTTTCTCAACAAATTAACACCAAACCGTTTTATTTCTGTACACACTTAGTTTGTAATTTTAGCTATTTAAAGCTATTAAATAATGTTCAGCGACATTGTTTAATTAGGTGTGTAATGGTTTATCTGAAGTATTCAAGTTGTATTCAAGTTGGCCAAAACCCACTCAAGACTCTATGTATGTATATTTTTTTAGAGAGAGCACATTCAGAGTTTTTAGCCTTAACCAGCCACACTAGCACACACAATTTTTCACTTTTGAAAGCCATGATTTTGCCCAAACACCACAAAGCACAATTATAAACATAATAAACAATTTTTAAAGCTCTATGCAACAAAACTTCAAACGTTTACTCAGCACGAGATTTGGCTATTTTTCTTTTGTGTGGGCTTGGCCTCCATAATTGTGAGCCAAATATAAAAAAAATTATAATGTTATAGAGAAATACTTGTGAAGTGATTGTGCTTTTAAGTTTAAGGGGTAAATAAAAAGGAGTATCCAAAGGTTATTGCGAATGTATGTTGCAGCTTCAAAGAGGCGTAGTGGAATCTGCAAAGATGTATACTATCTACGAGTATATAAATTAGGCCGTGAGTTGTTATAGTGTACTTATAGTACTTGTACGTCTCTTTGCCTTTCAGTATAGAATAGAATAATATGTAACTTAAATATATATAAAACTAAATTACCAAATCCCCCTTAAGGCGCGTACTGTTGCTTCTTTAGTTTCTGTTAGGATATTGGATAGTAAAGCTGAAGCTACTATTTTTGGTTGGTTGCTTTGACGTCATGCTGATTATGTATTTTATTTTTATATACTTGTACTTATATATTATTTAATATTTGCATTGTGTATTTATTTATTTTTAGTGATTTACTCAGTCATTTATTTTTACAAATTTGTTAAAGCAAATAGCTTATTGATTATTTTTTATATTTTTAATATAATACATTTCTGTATTTATACTTTTTAATAATTTGTAACTATTTCGTTAACTATCTTTTTGTTTGTTAATTAAATTGTTTCTTTTTTTATTATTTATTTGTATCTATTAATTTATTAGTTCATTTCTATTTTATTAAATGATGTGTTTCATTTTGTATTTGCTTATTAAGTCGACAAATAAGCGCACAAAAGAAAGCTTGCAACGTATTTAACAATCGTTTCTTTTTCAAATTTTACCAAAAAAGAAGATTATATTAAATATTTGAACAAACATTTCAACAATGCCCACAATGGGTTGATTTTAAAAAGATTCGGTTGAACAAATCGTTTTTAAATAGGCAAATTTTATGCAAAACTTTGAAGCAAACCGTGCTCGCTGGAAATCTGAACCCTATCTACCATTGATGTATGCATAAACATATTTATTAATGTGACTAAATAAACATTTATTTATTATAATTACAAATATGTATCTATCTATATAAATAATATATATAATAAATATTGATATAAGCACCGTATTCTTCTAAGAAGTGCAGGGCTGTATCAAAAATACTATAATGTCCAGCTGATCAAGCATGGGCTTGTTAAGAAGTAGACTTACTCTGCCGCTAATCCATCTACATTTGTAGCAACTGAGAACTATCTTTCTTTACCAAAGATCCTAAACATGCTTGCCTTCTTCTGCTTTTTGTTAAGCATAGTGTTGTATTTTGATTTGAAACTATTTTATGTATTTGGCGACTTGTTATGCAGACATCGCTCAAGGGCCAATTATTGAACTGAATGTTGAATGCCTGTTGAGTGGTGCTGGGGACGGGACAGAGATTGGCATTTTCTGATTAGCCTTTTATATGTGGCTGGCTGACTGGCTGGCTAACTGGCTAACTGGCTAGCTGGCTGGGCTGTTGAAAAATAACGTTTGCTGGCATTGCGCCTACACGCACACAGAAATAAATAAATAAATACATACACACATACTCGTATAAACAAGTTTGGGCCGCAAGTACAGGCATTCACTTGTTCACACACACAGAGGCACAATCACACCTATAGAGCGAACCCGAATACATTTTAGTACGTGCGACAAGAAGTACGCGTACTTACAAATTCAAATTCGAATTCCGACATTTTGTGGTCTCTTGGCTTTATCTCTCTTTTATTTCTTATTTTTTGGCTTGCAAGCCAAAGACCAAATTAATGTCTGCAAATAGCTGTGTGTGTGTGTGTCTGACTCTATCTGTGTGTGTGTATATGTATGCTTGTGTGGTAGGTTCATGGACCTGCCACAGAAATGGTTAGCAGGAGCAACCAACAGCGGCAACGACTTCGAGCACTTTAACTATTGATTAAGCTCAGCTGAGAACAGGTCTGCGGTTGTGGCATGGGTGTGTGTGTGTTTGAGTGTTTGTGTGTATAAGACTCTGCATAAAACAAAAAATAGAAGAAGAAAAAAATCATCATCATCTGGGCTGGCAATACATACACATGTACTTATAATGTGTGTAAGATGCTGCAACAACCTCCATGGGGCAGCTACCAGTTTATAAACGCTGGCCAGCACTACTTGGAGGTTACAAGTGTGTGTCTCTGTCTCCCCCCCTCTGGGCTTACCACAATAACAAAGATAACAAGCTCAGCTTAACCCACACACACACACACACACACATGCGCGCACTTAAGAAGATGTTGCAGGGACTGTATAAGAAAAAATCAAAAATACATATCCAGAGTTCGTTGTCTAAGTCTTTCGTTATGCACTCGCAGTGCATACACACACACACACACACACACACATATGTATATGCATACATGCATTATAGTGTATTTGTGCCTACACTTTAAAATATTCAGCCCACTTCTTACCTTAAACACTCTCTTGCTGCCTCTCTCTCTCTCTCTGCCTCCCTCCCTCTTTCGCGCGTTCTCTCTTTACTTCTTTAATGCTACTCAGCTTAGCAACAATTTTTGATTGCCTAATTGCACGATTTGCCACAATTAATAACACACAGCCACACACACAATAACAACAACAACAAAATTATTAATTAATTTACAAAAAAAAAATAATAATAATAGTAAACTAAAACACTCAAAACACTTCAACAGTGCAGCGAAGAGAAAAAAACAATAACAAAAAATAACACGCACACGAACGATAAAAAGAAAAATACAAAAATAATAACAAACAGCCCGGGAAAATTATGCAAACGACATCGGATGCGAGACGGCGCTAAATGTCTCATCGACATTCGCTCGACGGCGACTGAACTGTCGGCTGCCGCCACACAGCTTAGGATGCAGCGGTCGCCACGAAAAGCAGTCGTCGCAGTCGCCGCAGCAGCAACAACAACAGCAATAGCAGCAATACCAGCAACTCTATCGATAGCTTTCGAATGAGCTTTCATGTAAGCAGAAAGACGCGAACGCAGACGCAGATGTCAGCTTAGGATGCAGCGCCCCGCCGCCAAAAGCTTTCGGCTCAAGCTTTAAAGAGCAGCAGCAGCAGAAAGCCGCAGACCACGCAACAATAACAGCAACAGCAGCAGCAACAAGCAACGCTTGCCACTAAGCCAAGTCGATCGGCACTCTTGTGGTTGCTTGGCTGTTGTGACCACAACTTGCCTCAGTGCGTCGTTTATGCGAGCACAGTAGGATCTCAATAAATTGGACATTACACACATTTTAAGCCTCGCATCCACAAACAAAAGTACTAATATGTTTCTGAATGAAACATTATTAATTTTTAACGTCGTTTGAAAAAGAACTCTCTACCTATAATACACATTTTAAAGGTCGTATTATCTCAATAGACGAAAACAATATCTAAAGATATATTAATAAAATATTAAATACAAACTATTCATTTAGTTTACACAATTATTCTCTTTTATAAATTCTAAGCATCGACATTATATAGTTATAGTTTTCTCTATCTATTTAAATATCTCTTCAAACGTTTTATTCATCTTGCCAACAACATTTTGGTAATGAATTAGCTGGGAATATTTCGATTAAAACATTAATACTTGTAGTAAACATTACAGTCGAAAAAAGGTATAACAAAAAACTTCGAATTGTTATGAAAAGTATGTGACAGGCGGAAGGAACCATCTCCCACAAAGCATATACATTCTATGCTCGCATATTCTAAAATATTATGCCGAAACTAATCGATCCATCTGTCCGCCTGGATTTCGTAAACGGCTGAACATACGCTTGGTAATTAAATGCTTCTTATGCTAACACAATATAATATTTTTTATTTGCGTCCTCCTTCCGAGTTACAGAATCTCGTCAATATGGTTTTAGGTTCCAAAGCTACAAAAACTAAACCTTACATTCGTAATTGCCTGTAATTCAATCTGTTTTTAGTACTACAAGTTCTTCTGGAGATTCTCTATTCTCTTCAAGAGATTGGCCATGTACTTGTACAGTTTTTTACTAAATATTTACTGTGCTCTTTTATTAATTATTTGCTCTGTGACAAACCTTTACACCCCAATAGAGATTGATCCAAATAGAACTACAACTCATAATTCTTCAAGTACTTGCCGGCTGACTTTTGAATGCGACTGCATAATATCTAGAGCTAATTCAAATATGCTGCACAAAGAATATTTTGGATTAAGCAGCACTAAAAGCCGCACTGCAATCTTTGTGGCTAAACTAGAGAGTCTGTTGTGACGTCATCCCGAAGAGTGTACCGAATAACGGGCCTATGCCAGAGAGCCAATAACTGTAAATGAGAGGTGCAATGTTTTCTCTCTGTTGCTTCTTGCTCTCTATCTTAAAGGACCTCAATGATTTACTAAGCGTGTTTGCTTCGCTATTTTAAGCTAATTACAGTTGGATTTTCAGATAGGTTTATAAATACGAGTATGGGAGAACGACAGAGGTTACTTCAAATTTGTACAATTTTTTCTTTTGATAAAAAAATCTCTTAAAGACGGGACAGTAAACAGTAAAGAATATGTCATATTTTTTTGTACATATTTTATATAAAAATATCATAACTAACTAAACTTTTGTTCAGAGTTTCGTTTTAAGCACAAAGTCCTTAATTTTTTAATGGGTAACCGAATAATTATCTCTTGTTTTCTTCGATTTTTGACTAACTCACCTCATCGGTAACATCGCCCAGATGCTTCACATCCTCTACTTCGTGATAGTCCTTTGTCTCCTCGTGCGAAATGACCCGTTTGTCGTCGGTTTGGCGCACTAAGCCGTCCGCGGGCCGTGGAACCATTTTCCGAACCATCGTGACACCGCTGCTCGGCTCCAGGGCCTTCAACTGGGCCAATTCTATGTCTTTGGCAGCCGTTCCCGCTTCCAGTGCGCTAACATCATTGAGCTTTCCATTCCCGTCCAGTTGGTCCTGGGGCAGACCGTGATCCCGTTTCTAAAGTTCAATGATTATGTGGGTGAGTTGGAATCAACTGTTGTTTATAGTTCCATAGCTCACTTACCTCCGTAGTTTCCGTTTCCTGTTTGTCGGTGTCCTCTGTGGTGTTGGTGGACACAATCGGACCTGAGTCCTCAATAACTTTGCCATCCTTGAGCTTCACCTGCCGTTTGACTCTCGTTTCGATTTGTCGCGTTGTTGTCAGTTCTGTTTTCCGTTTTGTTATCCATTCCTCTGTGAGATAAAGGGGCAGTCAGTAATTAATAAATATTATTAACACTATAAATAATCGAATTGTAATTGGGGCTACTCTAACTTACAAATATTGTCTGCTATAATTTTTCGTTTAATAACTAAAGCAAAAGGTCTTCTGAAGTTCTGATAAAAATCTGACTGTTTGCGTTATATGAATAACTGAATAATACTGCTTTAGTTACTGATATATTTAATTCCGTTTTGTTATCCATTCCTCTATGAGATAAAAGGGCAGTCAGTAATTAATAAATATTATTAACACTATAAATAATCGAATTGTAAATATTCCCCCTTCGACGCTATTTACATATGTGAGGGGCTACTCTAGCTTACAAATATTGTCTGCTATAATTTTTCGTTTAATAACTAAAGCAAAAGGTCTTCTGAAGTTCTGATAAAAATCTGACTGTTTGCGTTATATGAATAACTGAATAATACTGCTTTATTTACTTATATATTTAATTCATCCTAGCCTCGATTTATTGCTCAATTGCTTCAATTTCCTGGACTTGCAATGAGACAAAAGCTTAAATAATCCACATAAGTATATACTCGGGCATATGTATGTGTAGTACATGTATTAAGTCATCATGTTTGGCGCTCCCCCTCCCCTGCCCCTCTCCACACCTCCACACCTCGTAGTGGCCAAGAGGTGGGCTTCATTAAAATCGCTGGACCATTAAAGGTTGCTTATATAATTTTAAAGCTGGCGCGCCAAGAAACTGAGCTGCAGACGACATCCAACCAAGACTGGCTTCAATTTTCGTTGGGCCGCTGCCAACTGGCTCTATATTCGTAGTACCTGCCTAACTGCTAACTAGCTGTACTAACGTCCATGTGTGTTTGTGTGTGTGTGTGTGTGTGTGTGTGAAAAAACGGTACATATACAAGTATGTATATACGAGTATGTCTGCATGTATATACATTCATATTTTGTAAGCGTCCGTCTGCTTGCACAGGTGCTTTTTAAGAATAAACTCAAGTACATAATTATTACACATACGAGCAGAGGCTGGACTGTACTGAACTGGACTGGACTGGACTGGCCCTTAAAACAGTCTTGGCCAACTGGCAATTCACTTGGCTCCAACGAAATTACATGCAATTTGCATATACAGTGCTTAAGCTAAGCTGAACATCGTGTTAAAGATATACAATATTACGTCACATTATCACTTTACAGATATTGTCGCACTCTGCTCAATCAATCAGTTTTCTATGAAATAGTGTTGTACTGGAAGGGTTAAAGGGTAGTTCAGAAACTGTAAGAGCAAAATCTATGTTACAGACGAAAAAAGGCGGAGTCTGCCCTCCATGCTATAGGCACATACTCGTATATAGCTTGATCAGCATAATAAGAAAATAATAACTACAAGTAAGTCCACCAAACTTGCTATGTATTATCAATTACAAGCCATAAGAAGCTTCATTATTTTATAAGCTGCCGCAGGACGTATCGGTGTTGAAACTAATCTTTTTGAGATAACATTTTTGTATTGCGAAGATATCTTAAGAAAAGCTAATATTTATGTGTTTTCTATGGCCTAATTCTATTCTAAAGTTGGTTTTAAAACTATACTCTTTATCATATAGCTTTGCATATATGTACATGGCTTCGCAGCTCAAATGACTTGGAAACAAACAAATAATAATAATAAATAAATAATAAATAATAATTTAAATAGGAGCCATTAATTTAGTGTCTGTAATTGTTGAACAGTCTTTGAAAGGTAAAAAACTAAAAGTGATTTTAAACACCCTCCCAAAGTTACAAAATTGCAACATTAAACTATCAATGAACAATAAAAGATATTAGTGCAATAAACAATTGCTGTTTGAAGAATGTATTTTAACTAATATATTTTTAATTATTTAATTATAATGTTAAATGAAACACAATAAAAGTTCCCAAAAAAATAACTTGATTTTAAAAATACCATAATCATAATAGAAATATAAGTAAATAAGTACAAATACTAACTACAGTAAATGAAATGCTTATTTTCTTTATTTTATTTTTATGCTTTAATTTAAGAAAAATAAGTGATGAAATTCTTTAGACATAAAGCGAAAAGCTATTTGTTTAAAGCTTGACTTATTGAAAAATCAATCGACACAAAATATTTAGGTATTTCCCCAGAATTGAAAAGGGTACAAGTATAATAGAAAAGCTCAAACGTTGTGACGTCAAAATACAAAAGACAAGAACAGCCACAAAACATAAGTAGTACACACGACTTATACTAGAGCTGTTTTCTATTTAGCTTTATTTATAGCTTTATACCAAAATGTTATAGGTTTTGTCTCTGAGCTTATGAACTCTTTTAAGGACAGCGCTTGAATCTAAGATTATTTTATTTGTATACATTTGGTAAAGTAACAGCGTATCTGACTATAATAAAAAGCCGTCAATATATAGGCTTGATTGTCCAAATCATCATTACAGTTAAGTCCACCTTCTGATCAAAATAATTAATGTAAATTCATGCCTGCCGAATAGAATTTATATCCGTTAAACTTTTGCGCTATATTTATCTATTGATTCTATATCATAGATTTTTCTAAATTTTATAGTTTATACCACATATAGTATTTGCGCCATATCACTTGTATCAGGATAGTCCTTTCTCTTTTATCTGATAATGAAACGCCGGTTGTGGTCGGCGAATTTCATTTGAAGAGTTTTTTTTTTTTTTTTGTTTTCTTTTAATGGATGAATAGCCGTACTCCTTTAGCACATTATGAAATATTGTTTTCAATTTATGAATATAGAGCTTCTTCTTTTCGTTTTAGAACATATTTAATTCATTACAGACACTGATTAATAATAAAATTATACATTTTTCAAATTCCATAAATATGCTTAAAGCACTGACAAGTTTTTTGTGTTTATTTGGATTTCCTAAGAATGGCTCTCTTTCTTCCGAATTTGTTCAAGTAATCGTGTATTTCGGGAAACAGTTCAACATACTTAGTATACCTGTGCCAATCAATCTATAAGAAATTCTTCAGTGAAGGTGACATTCAACATTAACGGAAATTTTCAGAATAATTTGAAACCAATGTACACCGTCTGTTGTTTGTAACTCTAGTCTTATTTCCAAAAGAATGTAGATTTTGTTGATTTGTCGGGAACTTCAAATTCCGTAAGTGACAGGATCGTTGGCTGTATAATAGTGCTATCTATACATAACATTATGAAATTGATTCAACGATAGTACCCTAAGAAGTTGCCTGCCTTTCTATATTCAAAGAATATACTATAATTCAGAAAATAATAATTATAATATACGTACATATTTATTTATATGAGTTCCTATTTATTTTCCCCATACATTTTTTGTATAATTATTTATGTATGTATTAGCAATTATTTTTGCTTTCCTAACAAACTACAAGATCGAGCTATGCGATGCTTTTAAATATTTATAAGATCCCAGAAATCTGCATAAGACTCTAATCCGCTCCTTGCGTGACTTTCTGAGCATAATATAAAGCATAATCCGATTGTAAACAAATTTTGCTTCTCAGTTGTAGTTTCGGGAAACCTTTTCCTATACAAAACAAATTACAAAGCAGGGCCACTCTAATGTTCATCTGTGCAACCAGCAACAACAACAACAACAACAGCAATAGCAATAGCGACAACAACAATAGAAACACCGTTTGAAGCGAGACGCTACAGAAAACCGGAAGTGCAATCGCATTCTCTATCTCGCTTCACATTGTTCGATTGTTTCATAGTTGCACAGATTGCCGCTAATGGTAATGCAGGCGTACACGACTTACCAGCATAGTTGTACGACAACAACAACAACAACACCAACAACACCAACAACACCAACAACAACACCAACAACTCCAACAATGAGAGTGTTTGTTATTAAAATCTTGGAAAGTGAAATGTTTTTTAACGGCTTCATCTCAAACAACAACTAGCCTCGCTTCCAAAGCCTACAATTTTTGTTTGGCATTTTTCTTCAGACAATTGCTTGCCATTATACTCTCTCGAATAGGCGTCTATTCGTAGACCGATGCATATGAAATTTGATGAAAATTTCGTGTCGGAACACTGAGACTAAGTACATAACTCGCAAGCCTGACAATTTCTTCACCTTCACCAGTGTTGGCGTTCAAAAACTTTGTTGCTTCACTTTTAACTTCACGATTTGTTGTTCGTGCCCAGAGAGTGCGAGTCGAGGGTGAATTTTGTTAATTTTAATAATTTGGTCCATGAAAATAGGCGTTAGATAGTTCTGTTATGTACCTAACTGTGTCAAACTTTTTCCATCAGACAACCAAACAATACTTTCAGTTTAAGCTGCCTATGCTAAACGATTAAATGAACAATAAAATGAATCAAATTTCTTTTATTTTCCTTTTTCAAGTTCATTTCATTTGTTACAAATATGTACGTATATTTTTCTTTTCCTGTGGTTCTTAAATGCTTTTCTTATTCTAAAGGTTTTTCCTTCATTTGCAGGAGTCTGTTAATTCCAAGAAAAAAGGGGAGTTTGTATTACTATTATCTCTTAGTCCTGAAATTCTCACAGAGAGTTTTATTTGCTTTTTAACTGACTACAACAGGTTTCTAAAGGCTCTACGAGAATTGAATTAAGTTTCGGAGTAGAAATGCCTTACAACAGGAACAACAAGAGCTGCTGGATAAATATGTATTACATTCCCGACTATAACTATTTTTTGAGCTGGTAATCTGTTCTATGCTTGTGAAACAAGCACTTCGAATAATTATTTAGGAACCTTAATTACGCTCTTAAAAATCTTCATTAGCCAGTAACTTGATTTTTGAGGAATAACCTTTAATGGCGAATCCTGGCCTGCTTTATATTTTCTCTAGAATCTTTTCGTAGAAGAGTTCTTCAGGAACCATTATGCAGTTCTATATGTTTTTAGTGAGTAACTTTATTGTTTGTGGGACTATACCTTTGGGCGGATTATATGCGAATATTATTACGATTCTACAGATCTTCAGTAGACAATATGTTAGATGTTTATCATAAATGGAATGTATATAGTATTATGAAGCAATACGGGATTTAAAGAAAGGGGACTAAAAACTAAAAAGGTGACACACTGCTAGGGACGAAACGACTTCTCTGCTCGATGTTCTCGGTTCGACCTTCTCTTGTGTCTTTATGTATGGAAAAGGGTAGAGAGACTAGAAGCTTTACCCAATACTTTTGTCATATTTTAAAAGAGCTTTGCTTTGCTTTGATTTGAAATAGAGGTTGGCTTACCTTCTTTGGTTATAGCTTCTGTATCGCAATTGATTGCATCTTGGCTGTCATCGTCTTTGGGCTCGAACTCGACCTGCGAAGTATCAACATCGTAGAAATTAACTCGCGTCACGTGACGCACATAGTCAGTGGTGTTAGTGTAGTTTGTGGGCAGTGGCGGGGCCGGCAGTGTTGGCGGCAGCTGGGGTGGCGGTAGCGGGGGCGGTGGCACCTGTTTCGACAATGCCGAAGGCAGTGGCTTTGCATAGACACGAAAGATGAATGGGTTGGCGGGTTGGCTGTACGGCGGTTCTGGCACCACCGCGATCGCTGGTGGCGGTGGTGGCGATAGTGGTTCTGGTGGCTCTGGTAGTGGTGGTGGTGGTGGTGGTGGAGAGTGCCATGCGAGGGCATAACGTCTAGATAGGCGGGCCGGCAATGGCCGGTAGTAATAGCTATGACTAGGGCAAATTTGTTTGCTTGCTGAGGATGGGGCGGTGTGCGTGGTAGTCTGTCGATATCGGGTGGCTGGTATGGCGGTGTCAGCCGTGGATGTTGACGACACACTGCTGCTGCCATTGGATCTCGATCTCGCGTTGCAGCCGGGCGGCGAGAATTGACCGTTGGAGGTCACGTGCGGTGCATGCGGGATGTTTGCATTGGCGTTGGCATTGGCGTTGGCGTGGGCGTTGGTGTTGGCGTGTTGGCTGCAAGTGCATGGCGTCAGTAGAAGGATCACCACCATTCGATCATCTGGCAGTTGGCGGCAATTGGTGGTGGCGGCGGCGGCTAACTCTTTAACTCGACGCCCAGCAACAGAGACTGTCGTCCACTACATTGGTATCAAGCGGGCTTTAACTCTCCACAATCAGAGCCACTTGGCATTTGAGTCTATACTTTCGAGCGTTTAACCATTCGCATAGTATTGTCCAAAGCATCTTTAACCAACTTCTATGCAGTATTCAAAATAATCGCAGACTTCGTGCAAAACACAAATTATATAAGACCATAAACAACAGAAGCGGACGCGCATGTGTGTGGTACGAGTAGTATGTGGCTATAGGCTTTGGCATATCGTTGTCGTAGAACTCTGTCGGTCTGGTTTTTCAGAGAGCGCGAATCACGTCAAGCGTAAAGCTGGACTGGTTGCCCAAATATACATATGCTCGTATATAGTATGTGTCTGTGTGTGTGTGTGTAACAACTAAGAGGGCCCATAAATTTTGTGCAAAAAAGTAGCATATACGGGTATCTAGCAGAGCTTCAATTGTGTACTCAACGGATCGGTCTTATTGCACAAATCGCTGCCGATTGAGCCAAAACGACCCACTGCCATAGTCGAAATTGGGGCGATTACGAGCAAGCAATAGATTGCAGAACCAGACAAAGGTCCAGTGCAATCCACCAGATAAAGATCTATTTTGCTGTTGCTAATATTCAAGAAGACTGCTACTGTCGATCAACTGATGATGAGAGCTTTCAGCATATCATCCAATCGTCCACTTAATGGCACTGAGTTGATTGATTTTTCGAGAAAACTATACCCTTTCCTTTGCTGCATTAATAATTGCATGAATTCTTCAACGAATGCCTCAACTCACTGGAAGGAATGGTGAAAAAAATTCGACCTCATCGCTAACATGTTATAAAAGTCACATTAAAACATCTGTAAAATGTGCAGAAATGAAGAAGAATCGAACAAGAGTCGTATTTGGAGAATATGATGAGATGAAGAAGAATCGGAAAGTGTCCATGAATTCTTCTGTCTTAATGGAATTAGTGTTTAAGGGGCTAGATAGTATTTGTTAGAAATCAATGTACAGGTTTGCCGAGTCAATGACAAGACTAGCCTAATCATATTCTGATTCTAGGGGTATTAGCTATAAATCAAAGATCCATTATTAATTTGAATTGTTGCTGAACTGGCACACAGTTATTCCTTATTTATTAAATTCATAGAAACACTGAAGATTTCGATTGTTTGATACACTTACCAAGTCTAAGCTAATCTTTTAAAGTCTCATTATAACTTTCAACTGTTGCTGAACTTTAGTTCCCAATGTAAACCATTGGTATGGCTTTTAAGTTTTTCCTTCTTAATGTATGTATATACACGTATTTGTCGATCTAACGTTGTCCGGTGAAGGAAAGAGTTGACAGAGCCAAAACAGTTCACAGTTCAAAATAGTTTGCGTTTCATTGGGAATAGACAAGGAGGATTTTCTTTAACACTCAACATTGACTCTGCCGGCTAGAAGACCGTACAACTAAACACTCTTTTATCTTCTTGATAAATATACATAGATAGATGGAAGTAGTATGTCGTAAATGCAGGTTTTTTCTTTTTTTTTTTTGTGGCAAAGCGATAAGCTCAAGCGATTTTAAAAAATTCCCACCCAGTTGTGAGCACAGTTATATTTCGAGAATTTTGAAAGTCAACAACAAATAAATTTAGTTCAATTAATGGTTAATTATCAAATTCTGGATCTTTTGCAATATTTGGAACCTCTTCTCACAAATAGCTTTAAATAAATCACTTAGTCTACAGTCATTCCGATTCAGCAACCATTTATCCATCAGCAATCAAGCTCAATCAAATGCTTTTGTCATTGCTATTATGGTTCAAGGTGTATGTATCTACGAGTATTGATTTAATTTCCACGCGATGATCGCAATCGACCAATCGACCGATCGACCAACCGACCATAGATGACGTCAGACCGCCACAACAACAACAACAACAACGGCTACAACAACAGCAATTAGTTGCTTACTTCCGCAGGTTTCTGTCGCCGTCCACGTCAGCATGCGATGGCGTATTCCGATTTGGATTCGGCCAATGACATTGTATGGATATATGAGCGAAGGCAGGCAGGCAGTCAGCCACCACCCAACACCCTCTCTCCTTTCCCATCTGAACCCCATCTAGCAAATGCCGCACCCACTTGGGGATTCAGCGCATGAGTAAGTGAGCAAAAATAGAAGAAAAATAAAAATTACGGCTACAAAACGGGCTAACTGGACAATTCCAAATGTAGAGGCAATGCCTTTTACCTGACCCAAAAACAAAGAGCAGAACAACAACAACAACTGCTACAACAACAACAACTATAATAATCACAGTCCCAGACGGGCGTCGAGCTCGCATTGGCCAATATCTAAATGGCAGGCGTGCCCATTTTAACGCCCCAGTCGCCCAAAATCCTGCAACTACTTACTACTACTGACCTACCCAGTAACTAATGCTCTTGCAGTTGTTAGTGTTGTTGTTCGAAAGAGACTGACTGATTTAAATACAGCGATTTTTCAACCATTTCAAGCGACCACGACAAGTCTTATGATCTAAGAATTCCAAATGAAAATGGTCAACAAATGTTTACATAAAATGAATTTCAATGAGCTATAAGCTTCAAGTGTCTTAGACTTGAAACGGAAAGGGTATAGCAACGCTGTGATGCCTTTACCGGTGTAAAATTTGTCATATATCATGGAAATGTGATTATCATATTAATGCATAACAAGTGCTCCAATGACGTCATAATTGAATTGAATAAACCTTTAAAAATGCACGACGTAATCAATCAACACAGCCACACCCATATTACAAAAGATAGATAGATTCTTACATTGTGGCAAACACTAAAATCACTCAATTCTTCAAAACATCTGCAATATGAACATATGGTACCCAAAATATATAAATAAATAAATAAAAGTATCCTCTTATGGACGATTTCATGAAAAAATAAAATGCCAGAACTCTAGAGATCACTTGAAGCGCAACTGCTATAAATTTCTAGTGATGAACTAATAACAATTATTATCATATAGAAATAAAATTGCAACTCCAATACAATTACTTTTGTAACCCTTCAGAGCTTTTCGCCTCGCTAGTGACGAAACAAAATTGAGGTGTAGAAACTGCTCCTTTGGGATATGCTAATTAAATTAATTAGATATTATTGTAATTTGATTAGATTTCTCCTTCTTAGGCTTAGAAGATGATTATAAGATGATTTGTTATAATTTTTATATATTTTCCTCCTATGTCGACAGTCAATGTTTGTTGTCGTAAATAAATAAATAAGTTTTGTATGCTACGCAACAATAATTTTTAGAAAGCCACATCGAAATTCTAGTGACGCTTTAATCTAGTGACGAATGCAGAACCAAACATAGTTGTGACGTGGTACTAGATTTCTACATGTTTGTATGATAGAAAATCAAAGACTTGTGTCCAACTCATGTAAAACAAAACTAATCGTTTAGTTATAAAAACGATCTGAATAAAACATTAGGAATAAAACATTTTAAAGAATTCTGAATGCCTGACAATAATACGCTAACAACTAATTCAATACATTTTATATGCCTTAAATAAATACAAACATACGAGTATATGAAAGAATATTGGAGACAAATGCCATTCTATAAAGACACTCTTATCTAGCGACACATTTGAAATTTTTAATATTTGTGACGTAGTAATTGCTTTACAATTCGATTATTCGCTTATAATGGATGATGGAAAATCAAAGGCGGACGGGCGTCTCCACTAAAAGCCACAACAACAACGAATCTCATTAAAGAAGTTGTTTCTTTTTTTAAGGCAGCTACAAAACTAAGGAAAACAAAACAAAACAACAACAAAAAAGACGATGGAAAATGAAAATGGAAAACAAAAACGCAACTGCAACTGCAACTTGTGGGTGCACACAACAGACAACCCAACCAACTAAGTAACTGACTAGCTTCCCCCCTCTCCCACCCACCCACCTGCCTGCCAACACCCCCACCAATAACCCTGGCCTGTCTGTCTGTCTGTCTGTCTAACTGTCTGTTTGTCGAATGCGCGTGATTTTGTGCATAAATGTGTGTCTGTCTGTCTGTGTGTGTGTGTGTATCTGTGATTGTGTCTGCGTGTGTGCCTTGCGCTTAAATGGTGGGAAAATATTTTCGCTTGGATTATTTATTTGCAAAAATCAAAAAGCAACAAAAATTGTCGATTCGCCATGCGCTGAGATAACTATTCGTTGCGTTTTGTGACGACAAAGTAGTGCGGATTTTTATTATACACTGTACCCGAAGGGAGGGAAAGGGTAAACTGGAGAGTCCAAATGCCAGCCCCATGTTTTATGTACATACTACATAAATACTATACTTAACTAAATGATTGAAATGGCGCTCATCGGTCCGTATGAACACCGAGAGACAACAAAGCTGCTTATCCATAAACAGAGCAAGTTTATTTCAAGCCATATATTTGACATAGCTGATGTAGGACCGACCAGTGTGAAAATCAGTCTCAATAGGATAGATAACTTTTTTGTTTATAAGAATATGCCTCAAAAAATTCTAAAGTTCCCTCAAAATAGGTTTTATACTTTATATAGCTGATGTAGGACCGACCAGTGTGAAAATCAGTCTCAATAGGATAGATAACTTTTTTGTTTATAAGAATATGCCTCAAAAAATTCTAAAGTTCCCTCAAAATAGGTACGCTATTTATGAATCGGATTCGTTATTAGATATTTTTTAATTTCCATAGGCTTTTTAATTTCTTTAGTTTAAGTTCTCTATTGATTTGTTTTTTCTCTTTTTTACATCGACAGCTTTGTTTGTCAATGAAATATTAATTAAATATTTCCGTCTTGGGAACGATCGATTGATAATTCTATCTATGTATCAACAGCTTTTCTGTTTATTTCCCTATAATCTGAAGTTTCATCTAAAACGCCTGACTACAGCATATAACTGCAGCAACTTTTTTGTTAATTCCGATATGATAATGAAAATTTAGTATAATATAATAATAAAAAATTACAAAATCGGTTGGCTATATCAACTGTGATACAACAAAGTTTATTTAAGTCGAAATGCTGGGAAGCGGGTAAAATGGTCGGTATTTAAGAGTATTGAAGAGTCGCATAACTTGAGCGTTCTATTCGCTATTTTCATTTACTTTCAAGGATTATTTATTTCGAAGAAGAAGAAGAAAAAAGCACTGTCTATTCACACTCGCGTTCGTTGCGATTTGTGGCGACAAAGTAGTGCGGATTTGTTTCAATTTTTTTCATAAATATTTTTCAGTTGCAAGCAAAACACACACACACACACACACATACAGATAAAGATATATGTGGGGTCATTACGCAAGAGTCAAAGAGCTACACTTGTACAACAACAACAACAGTGCAAGTGCATAAAAATAATGAGCTAAGTAAGCAACTGAGTAACGACAATAACAACAACAACAAAATATCACGACAGTCGACGATGACGACGAACACAACCATACTGATATCTCTATACTATGTGTGTTCGTATACAACAACTAGAAAAAATCATTAAGTTTTTGCACGTACTATATGCCATATAAGCCACTTATGCCACATACTCCATATATAAAAAAACAAAAAACAAAAAAAAACCGACACATATGCGGATATACACACACACATATAAGTCTATATGTAGATATATATGTGTCTATATAGTTGGATATAATATACATTTGCATATGTCAGTGTCACACTTTGCACTTTGCCATTAAAAAGGCGAGTGGAAACATTAAAAAAAAAAAAAACAAAACGTTCAGAAAATTCTGCAAGACACTTTATTTTTAAGTTTAATTGAATTTTCAAAAAGAAACAAAAAATGTTAAAACGCGCGCCGCACTTTTATTGAAAAAAAAAAAAAAAACAAAAACAATTCAAAAACCGCACTTTGGCCAAATCTAAATCAGAAGCTTCGACTCCAGCAATCGTGGGTTCATTGTATAATATTCGAAAAAAAACAATATTGTAGTAATGGTAATGGTAATGGAGTTCGAGCGTTTTCCGAGCGCGCTGCTTCAAACGGCGACTAGCGGCGTGGTCGGTGTCGCGACGACGACTGCGGCGCTCAATAAGCTTCACCGTTAGTTTGTTACACCAAAGTCTCAGCTCAGCACAGCACAGCACTGCTCAGCTCAACTCAGCTTGGCTCGTCTCGGCTCGTCTCCTCGCGTCTCGTCTCGTCTCGTCGCTCTGGAGTTTTGGTTCAGAAAACTTTTTGAAGTTTTTCTCCAACAACAACAACAGCAGTGCACGTGAAGGAGCTTGTCTGTCTAGCTGGTGCTGGTGCTGGTGGTGGTGGTGGTGGCGGGAGCAACATTTTGCAAACCGACCCTACCACCTTGCCTTGCCTCCCCCACCCCACCGCACCGTACCGCACCGCACCCCATCCCACACACACACACATACACACACATGCACACTGCCAGCCCGCCAAAAGCCAACGCCAAAGCTTTGCCGCCAAAGCTAAGCTTATCGTGTGTGTGTGTGTGTGTGTATGATGTTAGCGTGTTTGTGTGTGTGTTCATGGGCTAAATTCCCATTCAGACTATGTCAGATTCGTGCACCGTTTTATGCAACTCTCTAAATCGCAACGATCAATTCACTTTCGCAATGCCCGATTCGCAATTCCCTTATTTAGTCGCTGATGATTCAACAGACTTGAACTTATTGCTTTAACTTAGTGATCACTATTTCTTATTCTTTAAATTTTTTATTAAGTTTCATGTCTAATTGATTAGAACAAGAATAATTGTATAAATGATATAAATAACATAACAAATATTAGACCTACTCCGCATTAAGAACATTTTTATGGCTTAAGAATGACTGCGGAGTTTATATACAAATGTATATGTATGGGTTTTTTAACTATAAACATTGTTGGGGCATACTTTAAATTAACAAATTTAATTTTGAAATCACAAGAATTATTTGTACTTTCGAATTTCCCTCAATTAGCAGATGATTCAACATTTTTTCGCAAAAGTCTACCTTTTCTTACTAAAAACTTTTAAAGCATACTTTTAATGAATAAGTTTCGAACTTTTTGTACCATTCACATTTCTGTAAATATTTTATAAAATCACAGTAGAAATTGCTACGTTTCTTAAACATTTTTTTGAATATACACATTCATAAAATATTCTTTAAGTTCAATTAAATATATTAAATAATATATAATCATTACTAGTCGTCCCAAGGCCTCCCATAATTAAGCTTAGTTGCAATCTTTTAATTCATAAACTGATAAATAAGCAGACCTATTGGGCAATACGTAATACTTTGTTTTTAGAAATAATAGTTTATTCACAGATACACATTTTTAGCGCATTTTATTAAATTATAAATTTGTTCCTTTTTAAAATAAACGAACATAAATATCATTCGGGAAAGCATACTTTTTTAAACAAAAAATTAAACTAACGGCCGTTACTCTAATTATTTTGTTCTTTTCTGTAATAAAAGTGGGGTATACTCTTAGGCTACATCTGATATTTTTAAATTTGTGGACTCAATAGATTGTAAATTATTCTTGAAATAAAATGTAATAAACGTAACTTTTATAAATAGACAAATATTTGGCAAGCAATTTGTTCGAATTTCGCAATTTTTGAAAATAGAAAACTCTTATTTTGTTATTGATTTCCTTGATTAATTCCAATTCAAGAAGACTCTCATTTTGTTTGGAATAGTTATTGATTTACTTGTTTAATTCTAATTTTCGAATTAAAAGTATGCTTTAAAAATCAATATTTAAATTTAAAAACCATTAGAACAAACGAATCTAATTTTGCTTTTAAATTTTCTTTAAGGATAACTTTACTATATCCCCTTTTAGAACTATAGTAATTAATATCTTTTAACTCTATTTCAAAAAATATAAGACCTAAAAACATCAGACTTAAACTAATTTTATTTCGATTGTTTTTATTTTTACCAAAAATTAATTTTATAATTCTCTTCTGTATACAACTCATTTATAATAATAACATCTTAGATCACTTCATAACATGATTTAAAATCGAAAGGGAATAGCGAATAGGTAATGCTATAAGTGTTTTGAACTTTAATGTTGCACGTAAATCTGACATAGCCACAAGTTTCCTTTTCTGTTACTCACCAATTCGCTTTGCTCGTCCTTGGCACACGTCGCTCCTGCATGTGCCTTTGTCGTCTCGCTCAAAGCCATGGCGTGCACGGACGCTTTCGATTTTCAACAAAATGGAGCTTTCGATTGCAACTGTAAAATAAATGCAGACATAACTTTTATATTTTGTTGCATACTTTCAGGATCAGTAATTAAATGGCAGAACGATGCTACATTCTTCAGATGTATTATATTTGTTTACTAATATTTTAATTATTATTATTATTCAAATTATTTTATTTACTAATTACGAAAAACCAATGACAGCTATATGATATAATTAACCGATTTTTATAGAGCATTAAAATATCACAAGACATTTTACATAACTCATTTATACCAGATTTGCTTACGATTTTTTTTAAAAGCAAATAAGTTTTCCTACTGAAAAAGCGTTCCTATGGCAGATATATAAATGAATGAGGCTATATATATCATACAAGTATATATATCAACTGATGTGTTCCAGGTCAGCTCCTAATTTCGAATATTTTCGAGCCTGAACAGGCAGAATTAGTTAGATTGGCACTTCAACAGCATTTAATAATATTTTGATCACACTTTTTGAAATTCATCTTAATTGAATTGCATTTCAGCTTAAGATATCCTTATATCTTACTTATAGTTCAATTTACTTGCTGTTTTATGTTAATCTTATAATAATTATTTCATGCTCACTTGCCGATATTGTCACCCACTTTTGTAGATGAAGAAGGTGGGTGTTTGAACTATTAAAGGTTGTACAATATAAAATAAACTTATTAAAAGCCTTTGCACAAAAATCAAACAACTCTAATATAATTGATTAGGTATATGTACATAAGGTTTAAGGTTTTTTTGAGCCTCTAAACAAAATCATCTCTTTCTTAAACTCAATTCTCAGCCAGTCTGTCTCTCAGTCTCTTTAGAAACTACCTTAAGCGCATTAGCATAATATTCTGACACCTTTCATAAGTTGCATCGATATATGTATGTATACATATATTATTGTATATACATATAGTTATATACCTTTTTACTTATGTTAGTGCGTTTGTTTGTATATATTTTCAGAGCAGTTGTCGTCTTGCGGGCTATTATTATTAATTTTGTGGTCGCTACTACTATTTGCATAAAAGTTATATGTTTGTACGCCCTGTACGATATACACACAGACAGACAGACAGACATACGTATATACATTTCAACATTTAATAATACATGTGTGTATATAAATATATATGTATGGATGTATTGGCATTGTGTGGGCCGATGGAACTAAGTAGAGTCAGGCAAATAACTCGTTCATTTCGTCATTTCATCATTTTCAAAACACAATCAACCTCACAGAAACGCATTGCAGCTGATACATTTATACGCTAATACATAATAATATATATGTGTATCAAAAATATTAGATATATTAAGTAATATATATTCAGAGAAAGAAATGTAGAACTTTATTCAAAAATATCTCCTTATGTATGTATTTTAAAAGAGTTGAGGTTATTATTCAAAAATAGCGTGTCCTAGCTCTGAGTTAGAACCTTCTATAATTATTTTATTTATTTATCTATTTATGCATTTATTAGAAATATAACTTAATTCTTTAAATTCCGAAGTTAATATCCAGAGTTAAGAAGACTGTAATCAAAACATTGAGCTTGGATCTACTAGAAAAAAGTTAGCTTCATGAAATTAAATTTAATGTAATAAAGATCGCAAAATAGGAATTTAATTAGATGTAAATAATTGACTAATGCCAGTTGACAAAAGTATTGAAGAAATGTACCAACTTTTTACTATTTTGTTTCGAATCTATTTTTAAAATCTTTAGAAATTATAGAAAACATCAAAATATTGTACAAAAAAAACTGTTCAGTTATATATACATCAATTCAACTTTCTCTCCAAGGCAATGAAATGCTTGTGCTAGCTTTGTGACAATATGGAGAGAGAGTATTAAGTGAGTTTCTATATAATGGGATACAACTGAACTTGATAATCCAAGCAAGTGAAATTTCAATTTAAAGCAAAGTCCCTCTTCGTGCAAGCTAGTTTGATTACTTAGTTAACCAAAAAAGAAAAACCATAGGGATTTTGAAAATGCTTCTCGCTTTTCAACTAAATTTCAATTCTTTGTGATGGAATCACATTTTTGAGTTAATTTCAAGTCAATATTCTAACATTTGTTTACCGAAATGGGGGTTATGTGTGAGTGTTTTTGGAATTCTATTTACATATGCATTGCATCGAAATGTAAATTTGGAAATTTCAAGATCGACTTGTGTGTCGAAACCAGTTCAATAGATTCAATAAAAATGTTGACAGTCGTTAAATAAAAACATTGCGTGGATGTTGCGTTTGGAGACTTGTTTCGTTTTCTACAAAGCACGGCTTGGTTTGACCATCAAATCGCAGCCAAAAACGAAATCTCATTTTTACCAAATGCGATCGAAAATATGTACATAAGTATGTATCTACATATAGTATGTCCCGTCCCGAGTGGGCGGAGGCTACGGCGGCCGCGGCTGCTGCCCGTTTGTCAATGGTTAACGCTCAGAAAGTTGTCTATATGTGTGTATGTAAATAAATAAATATATGTACAAGCGTATATGTATATATATATGTATATATACATATGTTGGCGAATTAAATGTTTGCTTAGCAGAATCTTGCCTTGGTTTTTAGCCGTAAATTCCGATTGAGGCATAAAAGTAGATTCGTTTTTTGAATCCCAAGCTAGCAGCTAAGAATGAATTTTTTTTCTGCCTACTGTAGCTGTAGATTCAATTAGTTGGATGTATTCATAAAATTATGCTCTAATACGTTTGAAACAGGGCATTATATATTTGCAGTTGAACATCTTGGAGAACGGCTCTTGCATAGTAAACAAGACTAGAGGCGTTCATGGATTCATTCAACGCCGGTTCAAAGAATTTAAGGATTCCTTTACCACTCTCTAAACTACTGTATAGTTCTCTTGTACATCTCTCTTTCTCTTCAACATAAATATAGAACAGTCTTAATTAGTGTGATATAGCAGAATCTGATTAAAAAAGGATAACCTAGTTGGTCGAATTCAGCACAGTCAGCTTATGGACTTCATTAAGAAAAATAACGAAGTCAATGCGGACTTTATATATTATTTATTTGTTGTCCTGAGATATCTGAATACATGTATGTATGAGCGTTATAAAGCTCTTACTTACATATTAGAAGTATAATTTATAATAATATTGAAAAAAGAATCCATATAATAATCTTTTATATATATATAAAGATTCAGATAATCATTTTTATAAATTGTTTCAATATTAATAATTGTGGTCTAAAGTCTCAATATTCTTGACGGCAGCTTTTATCTTTAAAATTTACACCTTGGTGTGAATATTTTAAGGAACAAAAATATAAATGCTCAGAATTTCTTGTGGTGACAAATCAAAGTTACTTTACAGACCGGTTCTTGATTTCGATTTCGTTTCATATTACGAAACGCAATTCATTAGCATGCCGAATTACTAAAAAAGATCGCATTTTCCATTTATAATGTATAATATTAAAATTAGGTGATAAGAAACTTGTTGGAAATAAATTTTAAAAAATTTGTAGTTTAGTTTCCCTACAAAAACAATTAGAGCGTGAAACTCTTGAACTCTTGAATACCCTGCATATACCCTGTCAACAAAAATAAGCGTTCTCTAGTGAGCGGATTTTGATGAAACTTTATCTTATAATGGGGCACTACAAATAGCTCAGTATTACAAAATAACTGAAGGCATGCACAACAGAGCTTATTTCTACACTGTTTGTTGCTATGGCAGCTATATGATATAGTGAACCGATATTGATAAAACTATAGAATATTATGAAGCGCTAAACACAACTCATAAATACCACATGTTTCTAACATGTCTAAGATATCATAAAAACAGTTCTCCTACTGAAAGATATAAAATAATGATGTTAGGTGTGATTTGTTATAAATGTGCTCTGCATATTGAAAAGACACGTTTATATACCCAGTGCAGTATCCCTAACTGTTATGGCTCAGAAGATGTCGAGGCTCATACATACGAACAAATGGAAAAAAGGAAGCACGGGCAGGCGGTCTTGTCTGTATCAATTCATCCGGTCAAGCTGATCATAAATATACCCATAACTTGTGGTCTGCCACGCCTCTTTCTGGCTATTACACACACGAGTATCTGGCGTTTGAGATTTCTAGAACACCCTTTCACCCTTTTGGTAGAGGGTATACAAACAGTATGTATTTGCAATATTTATTAATTATAGTCGTAATAAATTCATAAAAAATCATCAACTCATTTTGCAAAATTTGCTGCAACATTATTATTTCAACAGCTTGTTAATCTTTTTTAACGACTCTTAATCATAAAGAATATTTAATTGTATTGAAGGGATTTTTAATAATGTTTTGCTAACAAGACTTATCGATTGTGTTTTAAAAAGATTAATAATGCCTTTGTTTTCTGGGCATAGCTTAAGGGCAGCTTTCAACACTTAAACAAAAGCAAAAAAAAAAAAAAAACGAACAAATAAGTTAACAAAATCCGTCGGACTATTACATGTTTAGTAAACATATTATTAACTCAACTTGAAAATTGTTGGTCAGCTGATGAATAATAAATAAATGTTCAATTTTAAACAGTTTCGGGCACTTAGCAAACCTAATTAATTAGTTCATATTTCCACTAAATTAAATCTAATCTTCAACTAATATTTTAAAGCTGAGCAAAGGCTTCAGGGCAGTTTTGGAAACTTGAAAAAAATGCAGATATGGATGATGATGCTATATTCAATAATAGAAAATATAGTTTATGTTTACTTTTGTTTTGTAATACCGATAGAATCCTAAGCTAGTATTATAAACTATTAAACTTTTAGAGCAGCTTTGGACACTTCAAAAAAAAGTTGAAACAAATTAAAGCGATTCTTTTACGCTGTTTAATTTCAATCACATCAAATATAAATATATTGCAGCGGCATTTTGTCTGCTTCAATCGATTTTTTTTATTACAAAAAATAAAAAAAAAACAAAGAAAAAAGAAAACACTTGACACAAAATTGCAATTTTTGACAATGTGGAATGAGCCGGCCGGGTGGGTTGCAAGCAAACACACACACTATGATGATAAGTAAATATATACATATGTATATATGTATGTATGTAGATACATAAATGTATATATTGAAAGCACATATGTATGTATATCTGTATATGTGTAGATAAACAATTTGACGGAACTTATTGTTGTTGGTGCAATATTGTTTTCATTGGAGATGGAAAGTGCTTCAAATATTTGTATATATATTTGCATATACATACATACATACATACATATGTATGTATATACGAGTACATATAGATATACACATATGTATATGTTTGTTTGTTTATAGGTGGATACATAGTATGTAGTTATTTTTGTGTGGAGTTTTTGAAAAAATATAAACCGCAAACGGACTCATCACCACCATATGCTTTATGTGCAGATAAATGCACATATGTACGTACCGATTTATATGGATTTACATGGATTTATATGCACATATGTACGCAAACATTTACACAGACACACAGAGACACTCATATACGATCGACGGGGCCGCGCAAAACGTTTTTATATATTTTCTTGTTGTTGTTGTTGTTCAATACAAGTATATATGTATATGTACGTACATATGCATGAATATACTCGTATATTTTTGTTGCTCGAGCCAAGCTTAATTGTTTGTTTTAGTCCGTCCGTGCCAGATTCACAACTGATCACAACTACCTGCTGCTGTTTTTGTCGTCGCACGGCTCCACTCCACTAAATTGGCGATCTCGCGCTCTCCGCAACAAGTAGTCGGCCCGACCCGGCCCGGCTCAGCTCAGCTCGGCCCGGCCAGCCAGCCAGCCAGCCAGTCAGCCATTCACAAGCTCTGTTTTGCGGTCCATCGGCTGCGCGAGCCACTCAGGAATTCATTCAGCACTGGCTGTTGTAACTCACACACACACACACACACACACACACACACGCACACTCGGGCACGCATTGGGAGAGGCGTTTTGGGCATAAATACTCGTATATACAGTCAGATCTCTAATAACGCCCTTTGTTTTCACATTTATTGCAAAAAATACATACAAGTATATTTTACATTTCTATTCTGCTCCAATTTGTCGAAATCAGCTTTTCCAAATCTACAATATACTATACTACTTGTATAGTGTCAGATCTCTGAAGACACTTTGATTTTCACATTCAACAAAAACTATTCAATTCTTCTTAAATTCGATTTTTTGGTTTAGCTTTTCCAAATATTAAATATATAGTGTCAGATATCTAAAGACACTATAATTTTTACATTCAACCATAAACTAATCTATTCTTCCTTAATTCGAATTTTCAGATCTCAGACAACTCTCTAAAGTCCGCTCATAAGTTGATGATATCGTGTGGATTTTTCCATAACTCCATTAGTTTTTTATTTCTATTCACTCAAAATTGGATTAATGCTCTCTCATCATGTCCTCGTGATTTGTTAAGGATGTTGATGTCTAATCAAGGCATAAATCTTTATTTATATTTATTGGAAAAAATAGAACTGGTAGTACGGTTACTGGTAGTAACCGAACTGGTATGGCTTTTCCAAATATTAAATGTATAGTGTCAGATTCACATTCAACAATAAACTATTCAATTCTCCTTAAATTTGAATTTTCACATCTCAGACGACGCTCTAAATTCCGCTCAGATTTTGATGATATCGTGTGGATTTTTCCATAACTCCATTAGTTTTTTAAACTATTCACTCAAAATTGGATTAATGATCTTTCATCGCGATTTGTAAAGGATGTTGATGTCTTCTTTAATCAAGGCATAAATCTTTGCCGCTACGTTTTTAAGGGAAGCTCCACTGTTAATTCAGACAACAACACTCACACACATGCATACATACATAGATACATACATACGTACATACATATATACAGACATGTGGTAAAGACAACGACTAATCGAACCGACGGACGCGTCGGCCAACAATAATATTAACCGCTCGCTGCTGCGACGACTGAAACGCTGAAACGCCTCATCAGGTTTTATGGCGGCTGCTCATGCGCGAGTCTAAAAACAACAACAACTATTATGGAGAGCGCTAAACTCTATCTCTGGCTCTGAATTTGAGTCTGAGTCGTCTGGCTTTGGCTTTGCGAAACGTTGAATTTGTTGTTTTGGCCAAAATCGTGCTGCTATTGTTGTTGTAATGCGATACGACAGTTTTATTTAAGTTTGGCATGAGTATGTATGTGTGTGTGTGTTGGTGTGTTGGTGTCTGTGTAACTTCCAAGTGTTGTTGAAGGTTAGCTTTGCTGATCACTGAGCTCAGTTAATGTTGGCGGCTGTCAGCCTAACAATTTCATAAACTACACACATACTCGTATGTGCACATTTAAATTCCATTCATTGCAAGGAGACATCTAAAGAGAACAAACTCACACACACACACACACACACACACACACACATGCACATGCACATAAATAATATGTAGGTGGAACTTCGTTCTGAAACATTTCAAAACCGGAAAGTTCAAACACATTCGTCACTCAATATAAACTCAGTAATTCATGCGAAATCTCATAAAAACAAATTGTATATAATTACTCCAATATCACTCAAAACTAACAGCCATGTAACAAATTCCACCTTAAAATTGTACTCAGCAGTCAATTTGTAAATAAACGTAAATTTTATAAATTAACGTGGGTGCTCAAGTCAAAGCTTGCACCTGTGAATTCGGTTCCCAATTGAGGAATAGAAATATTTCAAAGTAAATCGCCTATTGTTTTGTGTATTTAACTAAAATATGTCAATTAATTACCAATTTTTGTATATACTCGTATAGCCAACACTTGTAATATTCCTAATTTTTGAAAGCTACCAGGCACCCTAAACACATTTTTCCAAATAATCTCGATCAAAATTTGAGCTGAAATAATTATATATCGCAATTAAGCTATACTCCTTACTATTGCTATTAATAGCCGTTAATTCAAAGGCAAAGTCGAGAAAATTAAAAAATATTATTAATATTATTTCTTACAATTTTTTTTAAATAAGTATATTTTTAAAATCTCACTAAATGAACATAAAGAATTACAGAATAATAAATATTTTGGTTTTACAAATTCACCAAGGCGCTTACAACCTTTGTTAAATAACGGCTAAAGCATTCAAACATCTCAATTTGCAGATAAACAACAATGGTGCCCAATGTTTTCAAACGAAATAGGTGGCAGCTTCAATACTAACCACTAACAAATACCACCATCTTGATGTTTAGTATTTTTTGAAGGCATCGATAGCATTGCTGTCATCGATATTTCAGCAATTGGCGAAATATTCCAATTGTTATCATAAACTAAAACTGCTTCAAATAATGTTTAGTTATTTCTTATCTGTACAAATTGTTATACTTACTCTTATGAGGAATGCACGGCAAATAGAATAAGACATTTTTGTTATGGCAAATATGTTTGGCAAATTTAGTTGATAATTCTACTGGTCGCTAAAAGTTTTCAATAATCAGCACAAATAGACCCTAAATCATTTAACAAGTTGAAAACTAATGATGAGTACTGGGCCACAAATTCTCACATATGTATCTATAAAAAACAATATGTTCGAAGCCATTCTTTTACTGCGCCATTGTCTCTTTATTTTTATTAATACTTGTGATGAATTCAATGAAAATCGTACATGAAATAGAGTATTGTTAAGGATGCTTTAGCTATAGTTTTACCTATTTCTGCTTTCAATTTGTATACAGAAGGAAACATCATAGGCCAGGTACTTAACCCGAAGATGTGGGGCTTTAATGAATGAAGATCCCTACCATACTAATGCACAAAAAAAACATCCGAATTGCCATTTATAGTTATTTTTAAGTGTTTACCCGAATTTCATTTATATAATATTTTTCTTACATGTATAATATAACTCTCATTTATGCTAGATTTCTGTCAAATTGACCGACTTTAGATATTGGAAATCATATTCTCAGCATACTATAAATGTTAGATTAAAAAGTGAAAATCATAACAAAAGCGATTCTCAACAGCATTATAAATCCAGTGGGGAGTTCCTAAGGCTTTGATTTTTTTTATCGCAATCGTTTTTAAGTAACTTGTGCAAAGGAAATAAAGTATAGCAAGATAGCTAAAAAATGAAGAAACCCTTTTGAAATATATGTATGTATACGAAAGCTATTTGCTGATATTTATGTATGGATGCTAATGAAGGCGCAACTGGAAGCCTATTGAAGACAGAAATTTGACATAATCGAAGCATAAGCCTAGTGCGCGAAACAAATTTTTGCTAATTTGTTTCTGACAGCGTAATTAGAATGGAGTGAGTTAACTGTTTGTTGTCGGCCATTTCCCCCAATATCATATCGTTTATATGCCGGGCATATTATGTTGTTTGGGGTTTTCTGGGTATTACTTCAGGACTTCATGTTTTTAGCGAAACTGATAGCTCGCGCTTATATATATACTTACATATACACATATGTATGGCTTAGGTTCTAAATAATAAGAATAGACGAAAGTTTCAAATGTTTACGAACTTAAAATTCATTAATAACTGCTTTAGTTACATACATGCTTATATTTGTTACTGTTTTTCCCCCTTCTTGCTTTCTCTCTTTCTTTGTTATTTTTTGCTTGTTTATTTGTTTTTGTGTGTGTGTGGTGACTTATTCTATTTTGCTGGACAACTGCTTTCAAAACGTACGAATGCTCAAGTGGACAACAAATTCAATTAAAATTACAAATGTTTGGACACAAATTCTAAACTTTACAATTTGTAGATGCATTGCGTGTGTATGGGAATTGTGTATGTGTGTGTATGTATGTGTGTAAAAACACGTAAGTGCCTATTGGTGATGCTTTTTCATTTTCTTATTGTTGATACTTTGCTTTATCTTTTTTGGAGCTGGGTATGCAGATGTTTATTCTAATTACATACATAAATAATATATTTTAAAAATAATAAAAAGCGTTACCTCAGATAAAAACAAAATGCATTGGGTCATTAGTCGTTTGGGACGCGATTACTCAACATTATCGAGGCGAGTGCGAAAGTTGGTTAAATATTATTAAACTAGATGCACTTTTTGAAGCGAGCATTGCACCGCAAAGAAGCGTTTAAAAAACAATTCTGCATTATTTTTGCATTGATTGTTGGTTGGAGTTGTTTCTGTTTTTTTTTTTCGGGAGCTGCTATTTCTCTATCTTTGAATGAAATGAATGTGTATCCCCAGATCAGTGTAAATTTAAATAGCGCGCCTGTTCAGTTTTTGTTGTCTTCTGGTTTGCCTTTCTGCGGTTTTTGTTTATCTAGATCGTTTTACTATAATATTTCAATGCCTCCATTCATTCATTCTCTTCTACTCGCTCCTTGACATCGCTGGTGCTCTGGTTTCTTATGCCTCTCATAATCTTTTCAGCATGCGCTTCTTCTCCTTTAGCAATTTCTCCTTCTTTTTGTCCTGCAGCTTCTTATCCAGGCCCGCATGCTTCTTTGTCGATGGTCCATCATCTTCTTTGGCATCGCTGGCAGCGGCGGCACACTTGGCCGGCTATTTGAAGACATCAAACATTAGAATTCAAGCGAATTTATAAGGAAACCAAATTGCGTCTCACCTGTGCGTGAATTTCTGTCATCATACGGGCACGCTGCGAGTAATCATCATAGCGTTCGAGCAGCATTTTGCCCGCCTCCTCGTTCAGGGCCGACTCCGGATTGGGCACAATAAGCAGGCATTTGATGGTCAACAATATATGTTTAATGCCCAGATCTGGTTTCCAATCTTTCTTTAGTGTGTTGACGCATATCTCACCATTGGCCGCTACATTCGGATGGAAAATCTTAGTTAGGAAGTAAGCCTTCGGTGGCGTTTGTGGGAAATCTTTGCTGAGCGTCAGTTTAACGCGAAACACACCGACCGCGTACGGAGTGCCAGCGGGGCCGTCTATCAGGGCTTGTATATCGGTGACATCGCTTTCGTTTATTATAACTTTGATGCCCTCTGGCGGTGTTGTCTCCATATCCTGTAGTTCCTTCATCACCTGCCGTATTGTTTGGGGCGAAAGGTTCTCAACGTTGGAATACTGCTAAAATGGATAAAGATGCGTCGAAATTGAAGATACATTTATATTAAGAACAATTGCATGTGTATGTGTGTGTGAGCCAACAATATATATATATGTATGTACATATATTTTTGTTTACATTACCGAACTCATTGTGGCGGATGTTCCTGCTCCAGTGCTGATGCGTTTGTGCGCTGTGGACTGCGTTTGAAGATTTCCACAATTGCCTTCAAGCCTTGAAAGACAATGAATTGGCGCTATTCGAATGATATCCCGCCAATACCTAGGATTAACGCGAATAATGTATTTTCACTGCTGCTTTTGGCGTCTGTTGCCCACAATGCCCAATGCCAAATGCAGGGCTGAGCTTTCGATGTCGAGAAATTGATGCGTTTTTTAATGGTTTTTTGGTTTTCCGTATTGGTGATAGATGCTTTAAAAAAAACTCGGAATTTTGCTGTTTTTGGAAACAAAAATATGTGTTAACATTTGCTCAAAATGTTTCCTTAACACGTTTAAAACAATTTTTTAATCATTTGCCCACCTTACGTTCGACAACAACACAAAACTATTTATTTTCTATGTAGTAGCCCTCGTTTCTGCCATACTATACCAATATTTCCAAGAAGATGTGATGAAAATGGAATGTACGAGAACAGTTGCTGCTCAACACTGATGCAATTCAAGTTAGCATCGAGAATCAGCTTTGACATATGTATGTACATTTTCAAATTGCAGTGCAGCTATTTTTTATAGTATTATAAGAAATATACATATAAATAAATATTTTTCGATTATTATCAGCATGTTCGTCAAAAGGAAGATATTTTTGGCATTTAATTTTATTACGTTTATGTAATCATTCTTACTACCTTTAATTTCAATATATGTACATATGCATCAACCTTCGGCTACTAATAAAAAATTTCAGTAATGAATGATATTATCAAAAAAAAACATTGAGAATAATATAAAATATATGCAACTATGTACATACATACATGACGATAGCCTCGATAATTATTTATTGATATTTTTCAACACTAACAGCAACAGACAGCAACAGTTTCTCTCCAGATCAACCTTTTAGCTCATTTTTCTTCAGTTCCTTCAGTCATTTAGTTCATTCGCTAGTTCATTCCTGTAGTTCATCCGGTAGCTTAGTTCATTCAAATATCTAGTTTAAATTTTAACGGACGATTTGTTGATGTATTTTAACGCCCATTCCATTTCAATTAAATCTAACAATAAACAATATTCAATAGGAAATGTTTATGTATGTGCACTTTTACACATATTTCCTTTAAAAACAGCAAATAAGATGCTGCGTTTGACAGCAGAAACCGAAAAACTATACTGACGTCGCATGAATAATGCCATCAAAGCAATAAAATTATGTTCGCAGAAAATCCTATTCATTGGGGCATATCTAGAGAAACCAAAGGAACTGAACCCAAAAACCTAGTGCAGTAGTTCAGTTAAAAGAGGCGGTCTTTGGAACTAGTTCGTAGTGGATCGACCCAACTCTATTTCTGTCGCCTCGGACAAACAGACAGACACACTTTGTGTATTTCTTATGGGAGTCTGTTGTGCGTCAGCCATTTTTGTGGCAAAAGCAAGTTGTAGTTAGCGGCAGTGGAAATAGGGCCTTATGCATCCATACGTTTTTTAAATATTTACATGCATACATATGTACATAGTTGGATTAAGAGTTACTAACTTGTTGCGAAACGTTCAGTTCTAGTTCGTGCGACTGAGATCTTGTGTCGAAATGTCGAAGAATAAAATAAACACAACTACGGCGAACGCCGAGACCAATTTAATCGAAGTGAAATCAAAGGTAAATATATATTTACTTAAATTGTGTGTTATGTATGTACATACGTATGTGCGTGCGCGTGTTAATGTCGTTTCACTCCATACGCCCATATTCGCACCATAATAATCATTGAGAGAGTAGTTATGATTATGGCTGATTCATGCGTAAAGAAACATTCCTTTGAAGCAACAATTGTTACCGCAACTGCCAAATACATACACACAAATATGTACATACATACATATGTATATGTAAATTTGTAGCATATTATGTATGTACATTCAAACATGTATATTTTATTGCAGTTCGACGCAGAATTTAGACGCTGGAGCTTCAAGCGTAACGAGTCCGAGCAAAGCTTCGAAAAGTTTGCATCACTCATCGAGCATCTCCATAAGCTGAACAACATACAGTTTTTAATACTCTACATAGATCCCCGAGATAATGATCTGTTGCCTATCAACAACGATGATAATTTTGGTCGTGCGTTAAAAACGGCGCGACCCCTGCTTCGCATCATAGTACAGCGAAAAGGTAAGAAATATAATACCTACATTCCACCAATTCCAAATTTAATTGAGATTGCATTTATAGACGATTTGAACGAGTACTCTGGTTTTGGTACGATGAAGCCGCGTAACCTAATTGGCAGCATTCTGCTCGGCCACACTCCCGTGAAACCCAAAGCGCCATCGATATCCATACCCCATGATTTTCGTCAGGTGTCGGCCATCATAGATGTGGACATAGTGCCGGAGACACATCGTCGCGTGCGGCTGCTAAAGCACGGCAGTGACAAGCCACTCGGCTTCTATATTCGCGACGGCACCTCCGTGCGTGTGACGGCAAGTGGCTTAGAGAAACAGCCGGGCATATTTATTTCGCGACTAGTGCCTGGTGGGTTGGCTGAGAGTACAGGCCTGTTGGCGGTGAACGATGAGGTTATTGAAGTGAATGGCATTGAGGTGGCTGGCAAAACGCTGGATCAGGTGCGCATGGTTTCTCCCCCCTTTTAAATATATATACTTATTTATGATTGACATTCCAAACAGGTAACTGATATGATGGTTGCCAACAGCTCCAATCTCATCATCACCGTGAAGCCGGCAAATCAGCGCACTCTCACATCTCCACGTCGCGGCTCCTTCTCCCGGAACAGTCAATTATCCAGCGGCTCGCAACAAACGAATCACACAAACACATCCGATGAAAACGAGCATGACGACCAGGACGACATTGTCGACTTGACTGGTGTGACGCTCGACGAAAGCCCTACCACGGCAGCGGGCGCATCGTCCGTCCACAATCATCAGTCCTCACCGTTGTTGCATCACCAGCAGGCGGCCTCTAATGCATCTACAATCATGGCCAGCGATGTCAAAGACGGCGTCCTGCATTTGTGAGCATCCCACAAAGGATATGGCCCAACAAGAACAACATAAATAATAACAAGAATAGGATCAGCAATGAGTACGACACTTTCGGAAGCAATCTCCCAGAGCCAACGCCATTCAGCAATAACAACAACAACAATTTACATGTATGTAGTTGGCGGCATATCGAGTCCTCAAAAGGTTCAGGCAATGATGTTGCTAAGCCAAGCCTATTGTGTTAGTCAAACCCCACACATTTTAATATAGAAGTTACATTTGATTTTTCATATTTACCTGTAATTCGTCAGAGGAGTACGAGTGCGAGAGCGAGCGAGAGAGCGCGATAAAACGGGAGAGGGAAAGCAAATGCGAGCGAACCTCAAATGTAATTTGTTGATTCGCTTCGCTAATTGGCAATGTTAAGGAGTTGCATAAATACATAAAACTATATATACAACACTCTCAAGACTCATTTAAAGACACACACACACATTCCATTTAAATATATATATATATACACACACATGCATTTGGAGCGGCACAAAACCCACTTTATCTTCCAAACCCACAGAGGCAAATTGTTCGATATTAGTTCATTTTTATTTGGTTTTTTTTTTTTCAACAAGTAGTTAGATGTCGTCTATTCAAGTTATATGTCTATGCTCACAGTTGTTTATATATTTAAAAGAAAATAATACATATTAACAAATAATTAACGTAATAATCAGCTTGACAGTAGAGTTGATTATATTTTGAAAGCGTCGATGCTTAGCTCTACTCTTCATAGCTTATGTCGAAAGAAAAAGAATCATAAATGTTCATCACTAACTGCCCGCGCACCTTTTTTATAAATAAGCCTTTGTTAATATTGTGTTATTTTAAAGTTGAAATTTATGTTTAACTGACTTTCATTATATGTTTCAACATCCTTCAACATATCCTCAATAAACTGATTTAATGTTAAGTACATATATGTACTATATATTTATGCCAAAAAAAGACACTATTAATTTATCTTGTTTTGTTTGTTTCCTCCAAAAAAAAAGGCCAAATATGCTATTTGGCTCGAGAGGAATGTTATGAATGGTTCAAAATTGAGTTTATTTTCAATGATGTGTATTTGAAAATGCTAACAATTTCGAACAACTTAGTCGTTGGAGCGCTGTGGCATCTCTAATTCTAAGTATATAGGACTGGAATAACTTTTAGAACATTCCCCCAACATCTAAACTGATCCAATTTCCTTTTAAATTCTTTATAGTCCATCTATATTTTCATAACTGATATACCAAAACAATTATAAAGTGACTTATGATATAGTTTTAGCAACACTTTCAAAGACACCAAAATAGCTTAAGTATTAGCAGAACAAATTCGTGGATACTCGTATATCAAATGATTTGCCTCTTCATGTTGGAATCATACAGACGGTTTTGTGTTTTAAAAGTGCTGTCTCCAAATTATTAAAAGTACAGTGATTTATTGTCTTAAAATTGTTATTCAAATGACTTAATAGTTATATTACTATTAGAATTTTAGTGACCCTTCGTATGAAAAAAAGTTTCTTTGGAGGTTTGTTTTTAATTCCGATTCCTTAAAAAAAGCAAAACAACAAAATTATTTATTTTACAAAGTTGTTGACTTTTTTTAGTACTTTTTTTTTAAATCGAAAATTATTCATTTAGCAAAGTTCTTTACAGGGGGTTTCTTCATTCACAAATTTCATGGAGATTTTTTTTTGACGAAAATCTAGTTTATTCCTCAAAGTTCTTGAACGATTTTTTTTTTTTTTTTTTTGCGAAATGAAAGTTCGCATATCACGTGGAAATTAGTACTTGTATTTATATTTAACGAGCTAATACATAGAGTATACGTAATGGCAAATCGCTGTATCCGTCGGTCATATCCAATTGATGCTGAGCTGTCTTCAAGCTTATAAGTTATCTTATCAAAAAATATAGTTAGGCTAGGAGTGTGTGTGAAATTTGGAAACAATTTCTTGATTTGTTGTTTTATTTTTAAGTTGAACCAAACAAACACCATTAGCGCCTTCGAAAATATAAAGTAAAAGAACACTGCGAACTATAAAGAGCTAAGTTAACATAGTTTTTAGATCTATAAAATAGGTATGAATGTACTTTAACGAAACACTTGCTCGCATAATTGCGTAAAGCTGACAAAGATTAGAACTTCATGTCGGAAACAGAATGACAGCCACATTTAATAGAGGCGAGAATTTTGGAAAACTTACTTTGTCTTGAGTAGTATTTCCGAATAACTCGAATCGTACTTGAATAAACAATGCATAAAAGTAGAATTCGATAATTTAAAATGCAATAGTTTGTAATAGTTTGGCTTATTTGAATACCGACGGAATTATTCAACAACTTATATTTAAAATATATACTCTGGTTAAGATATACAAGTATATTTGTATGCAAAACATAAATTATAATTGTGTGTACATATATATTCTACAAGTATATAGTAGCTGTGCGAGCAAGTGTAGGTAATTAGAAAATGAAATGCATTTTCACGAGACATAATCACATACTTAGATACACTTACATGTATAGTATTTGTATTAGAAATAAAATCCGAAAAGACAAGAACAACATTTCAAACGTAATCAATCAATCTACGATATATGACTAAAAACATACATAAATGTAAATAAAAAGTTGCATAAATACTACAGGCATGTTTTTCTATTTCTATCATCTTTTTTCTTATGCCACAAAAGCGGAATTTGATACTTTCTTTATGACAGAATATTTCTATAATATGTGTACTTAGGACTATAGAACAGTCTATAGAACTGCTGATACTGTTTAATTCAAAAGTTGTGAAAAATTCACTCTTTCAATAACATTATGGGAAGATAACTAATCGAAGCGCCAGTTGGTTATTAGCCGACCACCTCAGATCTCAGATAAGCAGACGGGTAATGCGAAAGAGGCGTTTGCCACGAGCCCATTAGGCAGCTCCACCCGCCGAACCTGAAACCCCCTGAAGTATTTCAGATTGGCTGCCCAAGGTTTGCTTAGTTGGTGAAATGACCCACTTGGGGAAGGCAGCTAGACGGACGCTCGTCGAATATTTTAAGAAGACCAGTCTCAATGGTTTTGGACTCCTCTATCATATTCGGAGGCGACGCTTTCAGCGCCTCTTCTGGTTTATGTTTATCGCCCTCGGCATTCTGTTTGCCAGCTATGTAGTGCTCCACACGCTGTTTGAGTTCCTAGTCCATCCCACGGTTACGGTATTGTCGGCTCAGGGTCTGGATATTGCCGTCACACCCTTTCCCGCCCTCGCCGTCTGCAGTGCCAATAAGCTGAGCAAGCAAGCGCTTCACCAATATGCCCAGCAATTGGCCAAAAATGGGATGAGTGCACAAGACTGGTTGCGACAGCTACACCTACTTGGAGGATATTTTCAGCCTGGGTCTGTGCCAGCGGAGAACGCGAGCGCATTGCAGGCGTTATTTGGCGATCGTTGGCCAAAGGATGGAGCACGCGGCCAGCTGCTCAGTCTGGCGCCCTCCTGCAGGACACAACTGCTACGCTGCGAAGTGGCTGGCGTGGCCCACAGCTGTGACGATCTCTTCCAGCTCGTGGGCACCGGAAACGGCTGCTGCTGCGTCTTTAACCAAGACGGATTGAGCGATGGGAACGACAGCTACCGGCATGTGGCGAGCGGTCAGGAAATGGGCTTAACATTATTGCTAAATGGTTCGCGGGCCGATGATTTTCCGATGGTGCGCACGCAGCGATCTGACGGTTATTCGATACACGTCTTCGCCTCGGATGGTTTCATGCCAGAGGCAGGAACGGGCGCCCAACGCACTCTGCATATTGCCAGAGCTGGTGAGACGGTAGCTGTTGAGCTGCATGTGGTGGCACAACAGGCGGAGTCGCGTCTGCTCGACTACGACGTGAGCCGTCGGGGCTGCCTGTTTGCATCCGATGGTGTAAGCCTCTCCAAATGCCTGTCTCAATGCCGGCTCCACAGCATCGTCAGTAAATGCAGCTGCCTACCATTTCCACACAGCCAGAGTCGGGAGTGGAACGTCAGCCAGTGTACATTGTCCGATACGGCATGCCTGCAGACCCACGAAAGTAAGTCTTAACGTACAAGACACATAAATAGCGTATTTCGAGTCCAAGCTGTTTATGAATTAATTCTAAAAACTCCCTTGTTTGCACGACTAATCCTGCTATATATTATAGCACGACTAATAACTCAAGAGTGAGCCCAAGAACCCGTCCTCAAATGGTAAATTTGCAGAATCCCTAAACGTGCTCTATCAAATAGTATGCTTCTGAAAAAAATAGTTTGAGATATGATATTCATATGTCTTTATGATAATGCGCATACATTTCAAAGCTAAACAAAACATTATATAGATTTATATTGTTGGGATCACCTATTTAAACCAATACCTTAAAACTGAGCACGTATCGTTCCCAATTTACTTAATTCTGAAAGCTCGGTCTGGAAAGAATAATCCAACAGGATTACATTTGAAAACTAGAAGCAACATATAGAACTTATCTGGTTTTATTTTCGTCAATCCTCTGAGCAAGCTCTATCATTAGAAATATAGCTTTTATTTGAAAAATATCTGGCTCCCGAAATAAGTATCGTAGGGTCACATATTTTGGATGTACATATGTTTAAAAATTAAAGAAAGCGCTATTGAGATTTTATTTGGCTGCCATTTCAGGCATCTGGTCGCCTGCCATGCCCGAGTGCAGTAGATGCCTTCCCCTATGCAACGATTATCGGTATGAGCTGCACAAAGGAAATCCGACTAATATGAGGAGAAATCCAGATGGCCATAGTCGACTCACGCTCTATTATCGGGCGATGCGGATGCCACTATATAGTCAGAGCGAGCTTTACAACTGGTATCAGATATTGTGTGAGTTCCACTCCCCTAGGTAGATGCATGGATGGAATAACAACATAGCACATTTGATCTTTGCAGCCAACATTGGTGGCGTGATCGGCATTTGTATTGGCTGCTCACTTATCAGTGGCGTTGAAATAATATATTTTATTATATTTCGTTTATTTGAGAATTTTCTACATTTACGAAATGGAGATATGTAAATGCTAGAGTTTTGATTTATTAATAATATTATTATTTTATCTAAATGCATTCACCACACTTGTGTGCGTGGCTGCTTGTTGTTTGTATGGATTGTATGTCTTAGTTTTTGTGTTTTGTTTTGCTTTATCCGGTAGCTTAGTGTACCTATATTTATATGCATGTATGTACATGGACTTAAATCTAGATTCGTGTGTCATTGTCACTGTTGCTCAGTGGAGTCATACAGTTAAGGAACGAAAGGAAACAAAAATTAAAGGTGTCGGCTATTCGCGACGCCCGTGAAATGAGCCTGTTTTGAATTACATACATAAATGCATAAGCCACATGAGTTCCCCCCTCTCATGCGTTCATCATGTTAATTAGTTTAGTGTTTGGCTCTTAATTTTGCCATTCCATATGCTTTTGTGGTAATATTTTACATAAACATTTGATTAAATTTTGCACTAATGTGTGCGAAATTCGTTATGCTTCCCCAATCCCCACCCCACACTCTCATCCGATTGACACGTAAAAGGCTTATAGTGGAATAAACACTCCATAGCGTCGCATCGGATTTGATAATCTAATAACTCTGGCCTTTACTCACCGGCAGCATCAGAGCTAGCGGTGACATTAGCTGCATTATTCTCAAAACACTGCCAAATGGTGCGAGCCGCCGGACGATCTTCGCTGAGGGCATTGGTGCATAAGTAGAAGAGCTCGACAATACAGTTGTAGTCATCACTGAGTTGGAAGGCGACTGGTAATGGCGGGCGGGTGCCATACGCTTGCTCCAGGTTAGTGAGCGAAAAGTCTGAGATGTCATTCTCTTTGGTATCATCTTCGTCCTCCTCATCCTCGACAACGTCCTCTGCTTCAGATTTCACAGCAAAGTCACGCTCGTCAACATGCACACCAAGACTGTCGTCCAGGTCCGACTTGTTGCTCCCAGCACAGTTGGAGTAGTTAAGCTGCTTGCGTGACTCTAAATCCACATCATTGCTGCTATTAAAGGCCGCATCCAGTTCCAGTGTGTGGGGCGGCACGAGGGCCAACGTCTCATATATGATAAGCCCAAAGCTGAAGATATCTGCTTTGGTGTCAATTATCTCCACCTCATCGATGATCTCGGGGGCTGACCAAAGGTTGGTCCCTGCCAAGAGAGTACGTGTTTTTCAATAAATATACATACTTTACGTATTTAACTGAGCGCAACAGTTGGGCTCTAAATAATTTACACACTCACCCACATATTGAAGTCCGGGATTTTTTTGGAAATTAATTTCGCCATGCTCATCGAGCGGTAAGGAGACGCCGAAATCGCAAAGCTTGCATATTTCGAATTCACCTTTGACGAGCACGTTGAAGGATTTGAGGTCGCCGTGCAACAAACGGGCCTCGGTGTGTAGAAAATCAAGTGCATGCGCAATGTCCATTATCATTTTGAATGTGTTTTTGGCGGGCAATGGACCAAGATCCTCGTCATGACGCTCCTCAAGAATTGAGCCCAGCGATGTATTGCACATTTCCAGCGCCAATGTTTCCACACCATCTGGAGACTTAACCACGCCACGGAAGCCCACAATATTTGGATGATTCAGTTTCCTGTGAAACAAATGCATGCAGCAACATTTATTTATTTAGTTATCTATATAGGGATGGATGTATAAATTATTGAATTTGCGAAACCCCCGCACACATAAATACATCCATAAACATACATGCATGCCTGTGTACACATAGGCAGGTGGTATGTACACACATATAAACATGTTAGTATGTTTAACCGCACAATTATGTATACCAAATCGACGCACACATGCGAATCTCACGCATGCACACGCATGCAGCGGCAATCATCTGTGTGTCGTGTGTGTGGGTACATGGTACATACATGCATGTATACAAATGGCCGCCCAGTCCTTTTGCCATTATTCCAATTCAGTTCTAACTCACCGTAAGATGTCCGCCTCACGAATGATGCGCTCGTTCAAAAGCGTGTCCTTTGTGGCCCGTGTGCGTTGTGTTATGCGCTTTACTGCCCATGGCGAGCGTATCTGGCCCTGCTTTGGCGACCGATCCAAACGATAGACACTCACTCCGGTGCCGTGGCCCAGCGTCTTGAGCATCGGCGATGGTGGTATTTGTATTGGAGTGCTATTGTTTTGCACATTTTCGAGATGCAAATTACGTAGTTTGCGACGCGGTGTATCCATTTTATGTTTATTATCTTTTAAATCTTCAATTACAGCGATGTGAAACTATTATAAAAAAAAAACAGACAGTAGCAGGAAGAACTGCCACAATGAAGCGACGCGCACAAATATACCGTTTAAATGAAAAGCAACAGAGGCGGCACAACTACACGCACAAACAGAAAAGGCAAACGCTACAATGAGCGTGCACACTGCTTTCTAACAATCTGGCCGCACTGCACAATAGTGCTGAACAATGTTGGCGATACATTTAGAGCTGCCACACAACTGCTTATGTGGGCGCATGCTGCACAATTTTAAAATTATTTGGTTTTCGCACTACTACAAACTATGTATATGTTTGAACTTTGGCTGAAATTAATACCCTTGTTATATCCATAGTGGCATATTTTTTTTTAAACCAACGGCCAGGTAAAGATTTAAATAAACTTTCTCTCTGTCCGTGCTGCCAGGCGTTTAGTTTAGTTGAATTAAACTTGGAGCTTACTATCAGCAATTTATTTTTTAAGTATTTTTAAATTATTTAATAAAAAAAATTAAGTATTGCTATTAACAAATCAAAATAAAATTGGTACTTGCAAAGTTTAACTCAATAAGTGTTTATTACTGCACGAATTTTTGATGTGAAGCCATGAAAATTAACGACGGTCAAATCAAATTTACGCATTCCTTATGAAATGCATATGAAAATGTTTGCCAGTGCGAAAACGAAAAGCAGATATGCTGATACACTGATAATCAATTAAAAATACGGTGCTTTAAAAAATATCGATACAAACTATGGTTCGATAACAGTTGAAATCAGGGCTGCACCTAAGCGGTTGAGCTTTGAAGTTCAAAACCGGTAGAATTTCGTAACAGTCTTTGGTTCTTTCCATCATTATTAATTGGTCCATTTCAAGTTGAAAACACACATATACGAGTATAAACAAGGATGTACATATTTTATTACATATTTATATACATAGGTACACAAGTTATTTCTTTATAAGATTAGTTTAGTAATTTAAAAAAAAAAGAAATGCATAACAAACATTCAACAGAGTTTTTAACATCAATTCATTAGTCTATAGTAAATAGTATGTATTTATTTAAATTGTACTTGGCTTGTAATTGTTGTTGTTGTAGAATCTTTGTTGCTATCGCAAAAAATATGCATAAAACAAACAAACAACAACATCATTAGTGGCTATGTATTTATGTAAGTTAAAACTGACCCTTCAATATTCCAGTGTGCCCAAAGTATGTATAGGAGTAACATTATAATTTACCCAATTGAATCCACAATGTTTTTAGCATAACACATTTAAATTTTATGCGCGCGCGTTCTTACATTCTTACATTCAAAGTTAAAATTTAGCTATACCATTTTAATTACACAATTTAAGTTTAAATATTTATCTATGCATATATATATACATATATATATATATATATACATATATATATATATATACATATGCATATGTATATATGTAATTGGTAACAGTCTTTTATCACGTTTAGTTTTTATGCCATAGACATAGACAATATATGGTACATTCGTAGGTATATATATTTATATATATATATCTATATATATACACTGGTCGGCACAATTATTTTGACGAGAAGAAAATCATACATTTTTGTCAATAACTGGTTATTGGTTTAAGATATCAAAGGAAATTTTTTTTCTCAATTCCATATTGGTATTACAAACTTAAAAATAATTCAAAGGATATATTTTTATAAGGACTTTTAAAATTATAAATCAAGGTAATTTTCATGGGTTGGCATAAGTATTTTGACAATGGATATTAACAAAAAAAACAAAGCTTAATACTAAACAAAACATAAGAAATTGATGGTAGATTAATAAAATGTATACCCGCCTTTGGCTTCGATAACTTTTTGAAGACGTCTTGGAACTGAGTCCACTAAATTTTGAAGGACCTCTAATGGTATCTCTTTCCAAAGAGAAGTGACCTCGGAAATAGTTTCTTCTTCGGTTTTATGCAAAGACGCATTTCTTTTACGTTTTACAAGAGACCACACATTCTCAATAACGTTTAAGTCCGGACTTTGTGGTGGCCAATCCAGAGTAGTAACACCAACATCGGTTAAAAATGCTCTTATCATTTTGCTTTTGTGGCATGGGGCGTTATCCTGTTGCAGGATAAATGATTCTCCAATCAGCCTGTCACCGGAAGGGAATGCGTTTTCGTTAAGGGTACTCAAATATTGTTGCTGGTTCATTGAGCCGGTGATGGGAACGAAATCACCTAACCCATTGTACGCAATGCATCCCCAGAACATGACTGAGCCTCCGCCATGGCTCACTTTTTGACATACGGGGATATTTTTTTGTCTTTGAAACTGTGGGAGCCTTACAAAAATCTTTGTTTTTGATGAATTGTATTCAAAGGAGCTTTCATCTGTCCATAGAACGCTTCTCCAAAACTCTTTTGGCTTATGCAGATGCTCCTTTGCAAAAGCCAATCTTTTGAGCTTGTTCACCTTTGATATGTAAGGTATGTCCTTCGCTTTGTATGTCTTAAAATCTACTTCTTTTAGGCGTCGCCGAACAGTACGCTCACTGATTGGAGTCTTGGTCGACTTATTCCATTGATCTGCAGCAGCTTGCGGCTTTAAATGAATATTTTTTTTAAATTCCCGCAATAGGACTCGATCTTCAATGGGTGTTGTTTTGCGGTTAGCACCTGATCTAGGCAAGTTTTTGACGTGATTGTGGGTCTTATATTTGTTAATTTGATAGTGGACTGTTTGCCGCGACAAATTATATTCATTTGCAATGTCTTTTGGTGCTACGCCGGCATTAAACTTCGCCACTATTGAGGCTCTAACAACATAACTTAATTCTGTCTTTTTTACCATTGTATCGATTACTTTTGAATCAAATTTTAATGAAAATAATGTAAAAAGGTCAACAAAAATTGTTACACCAAAGTTATTTTAGTATCACTTGATAAAACGTACGCGAAAACGGCGACAAAGATTTGGTCAAAATACTTATGCCGTGCCTGAATCCGCAGTCAACTCACATTGTCATTTGTAGAAAGAAGGTGTGAAGAGTAATAGGCAAAATATTTTGCCTACATATTGTTGTTGCTATGAACTCTATATCCCGTATGAAAATTGTACCGTTATTCCTTGAAACTAAAAGCAACCAGCACCGATAGTCGTGAGTACAGTTCGTCAAAATAATTGTGCCGACCAGTGTATATACACATATATATTTATGTATGTATTCGTATGTACATAAAAGGTAAACAACTAATAATAATAGGCTTATAACATATCCATAAATAACCTAATAATTGTTTATTTGTGTAAAAATTATTGTGTGACTGACGACTACTGATCTGTAAACTGAATTAACAAACAGCAAAATTAACAAATTTAACCAAACTTTCAGGCTCCACAAAATGTCCATAGACATCTCAATATTGGCCCAGCAAGTATGTATGTACATATGTTTGCGTTTTAGTATGTATGTATGTTTTATGCTCACTCTTAGTTTTTGTTGCTCTATAAAATATTGATTTACACACCGCTGCTTTAAATAGTAATACATAGGTATGTACATACATAGCACTATAGTGTAGAAGTTCAGTTATATACTTGTATATTCTATAGTTTGTAGTTGCCGCTCGCAAATCAATGCATTTGTAGGTCTAAGACCTTTTCAAAATTTTCTGATTTGCTTTAAATTTATTTGAATTTTCTGTTTCTTTGTTGGCTTTTGTGTTTTGAGCGTTTGTTTGTTTGTTTGTTTGTTGTTGCCGTTGTTTCCACATTTATCACATGAAAGCCGCATGTGGATAAGAAACCTAAGTCCAATGTGAAACCCTTTTAATGAACCTCGTGAATTTCGTGACACTAAGCCATTCAGCGTGGCGTTAGATGTTCCTCGCCGCTGGTATTACTGCCATGTGGATCGGATTCTGATTTCGTTGTGTGTCCTTTATTCTGCAGCTGCACCTCATACTCGCTCTTAATATTCACGTACAGCTCGCTCTGCTTTTGGTGTTCCTCCTACAACAGAATGGGCATAGCATTAGCCTCAAAGAAACCCCTCTCTATATTATTTTCACTCACCATAATCTCGTCTATGCGCTGATTCGCATTTGGCACCTCAAATCGGTTGCCCTGATCTCGCAGCTCCTTCGCCACGTTCAGCTGTTGATTCAACGTCCGCTCGATCTGAACGAGCGAGTTGCTCAGCACGTGTTCGATTTCTTAAAGAGCGAAAGAGAGATAGGAAGAGGGAGAGAGAAAGAGAAAAGGAGTATATAAATAATTATACATAGTTAACAAATAACTTGCACCCGAATTTGTCAAACTTTACAGGTGTCAGAAATATTATTAATTTTATTAAAATTAAAATGTATCCTCTATTTAAATATGGTATTACGATTCAAAAATTTTTTTTTTAATTTAGTAATTTGTGTAAATATTATTTGCTTGTCTGTGCAAGTTGTCTTAAGTTGTTCACAGCATCTCCCAAAAGTGTTCTTATAAATATTATTATTATAGTCTGAGGTAGCTTGGTTTTGGACCAGCACAGCCGAATATACTATAGTCTCAAACACCTAGCATATTTATCTTGAATGAAATGATCCGTCAAGAAGATGTGAAATAGCTTCATAGTTCCCGTTTGTTCTTAGGATCCGAAAAAAATGAAATTATGTTAAAAATTATTTATTTATGGCTATACTTGTAACTTTCGTCATAATTAACATATCTTAATGAAACTTTGCAAACGGACTCACAATCACTAAGTGAAGGTATTTGCCAAATCTGAGTAAAAATTCCAAAATTTACGGGAGCTATCGAAAAAACACGAATTGCAGGAGTGTGGGGAGGTGTATCAGAAAAAAACAAGAACACAAACTCGTCCTTTCTCGGACTTAGGGGAATCTGGATACCAAGTTTGGTTATTCTAGCTCTTGTACTTGCTGAGATCCTTGCGTTCATACAGACGGACACACAGGCGGTCATCCTGCCACGCCCCCTTCCGTGTGTTACATACATTCGCACAAAACTGATATAGCTTCTTACCGTTTGGGTACAGCCTAGAATAAATATATAACAATGCATACACTCCTCCCAGAAGGGTCTACTCCAATGAGATTTGCAGGCTTTTACCAAAGTCAAGGGCTTTATTCGTCTCACCCCTTTAGTCGAACGACAGACCGGTTAGACCCTACGAACCTTATGTTCACCCCTTAATGGCGGTTGGAGTTACTTACCTAGGCTCGGCATAAAAATACGCTTCGATGGCTTAACATCATCAGCGTCTCCAATACTGGTGCGCTTCACTGTTGCTGTGGTCGACGTAGCCGCTCCTGACGCCGATGATGGAGCTTCACGGGCGAGCTGACTCTGACAGAAATCGCAATCGATTTCACTGCCGGTTTGGCAATTGCAGCCTTCGAGAAGAGTGGACATTGCGCTGGGCGATTTGACGGACTGTTGGGGACCACGCAGATGCTTTGCTGCTGTAAAATTCACGACGGTAACGCTTTTCGAAATTGAGGACTTGACGGAGGCAGTTTCGGGAGGAACTAGCGCCAATGGTGGGGTCTTGGAACTGGCCATATTTTGTGCCGCGGCCATACGAGCGTGCGACATGGACAAGGAGCTGCCCAGGAATAGGGAATTGAGTTTCTGATGCTGGGTTTTCGGTGGTTGGTCTCGCTGATGATGGTGATGCCGCGATCTGTGGCTTGCTGAACCATCATCGCTGAACTTGTCCACAGTCTTGTTATCATCATCGGCATCCTCACCGTCTCCGTCTCCGTCGTCGTTGTCATCCTCATCATCGATCTCATCGTCCTCATCGTCGTCATCGCCTTCCTGGTATTCGTGCGTCGCCGTCTTTTGCAGATTCTGGATGAGACACAGGACAGCCTTCTCCAGCTGAGCTGGATGCTCTGAGGCGGGCACATCCATGGTGGATTGTGGTATTTTTGTATTTATAATCACAGAGAATTTCTTTTTCATCTCCTGGACGCGCCGTTTGCCCTCCTCCTCGTCCAGCAATGTGTTGACGCACACAAAACTGTGCACCTTGTTCGTCTCCTTGTCGATCTCGAGAAAGCCTTTCGATTGCAGGTAAATAATGTTTCCATTACGGGTGAATAGCCGGTAAGTGGACTCTCCGTACGAGCTATTGCAGTCGTACACTGAAAGGAACACCAAACGTTTGTACTACTACTCACGAGGATGAGGTGATGGTTTGGTTTGTCAGACTTACTCTGTCGCAGCGCCACAATGACCCAGCGTACGTCGTCGTTGTGCATGAACGTGAAGGGACTAAGGTTACGCACCTCATCCGTCATATAGCCGGCTACGATGCCAATACGCTGGTCGCAGTCGATTATGCGGCCATCAATGAGATGTCGGGTCCGGTACTCTAGCGCGTTAGCGTCGATTAAACGGCTCGCGATCTTCGGTGGGCGGATGATTCGCGCACAGGCAGTGAGTACCTGAGAATGAGGATGAAGTGGGGAGGGTTAGTGCTATGGCCGCTGGGTGGGTGGTGTTCGTGGGTTGGCTTACTATATCGTTGCCGCTGATTGAGTGCAGGGGTATGGTGTCGTCACGGCCCCTTGAGCGACGTATCAGTTGCAGGCTGGAGCTAAATGTGCTGGATTTGCCGCGAGGCGCCTCATCACTGCGACGGAAACAACCATCGATCTTAACCACCTCATAGGCGGTTGGCTCGGAGCGTGGACCAGCGCGTGCCAACCTGTTGAGGTAGGCAGGTTAGTTGAGAGTTGTTGGCCAAGACAAGACTACGTACCGCACACGAAAACTTCGTTTATCCTCCCTCAGCTTTCGATCGATGTACTCTTCCTCCGATTTACTGCGTTGTCGCGTCTCACCATCGCCCACATCGCCCTCGGCATGCGCCTCAAAGAGATTCTCCAGTTCGGTTGGTATAAGCTGCTGTTTCAGCATGCTGTGGTCCTCAGGGTGTGTTATCTGCAGTATATTCTGTCCATACAGATCGGTCTATGCGGCAAATAAAGTAGAACAGTTGCATTAAAAACGTGGCAGAACATCAGATGATATCGGATGATTAACGCACCTGGCAGTGTCCCAAATGCTGCTCTATACTTGATGATATCAACAGTATCTGGCCGTGACACGTCAAAGTTACAAAAAAACTATCGAGCATGTTCATCAACGTATCCGTTATCTGCGGTCGTTGATGTTGCAACGTCTTACCGAAAGCTACAGTTGAACGAAAGAATGAAGAGTCACAATTGGCAAAAAGACCAAGGAATCTTAACACTCACCATACTTTAGCCGTAGACCATGGGCGGCAAAGCGGAGGACAGCCGTTTTGTCAACACGACGCGGTGATTCGGCCACGTGGGGCACCATCGTCGAGAGCTCCTGTATTGAACCATTTAGCTTGTCCCGACGGTTCTTCTCAGCTCGATTTCGTGCCTCACGGCCGCTACAAATCAGAAGAATAGATCATTCATTGTTCATTCTAATGAATATTTTATAAGGAACGAAGAAACAAATTTCTTATACTATACTATACTTGCATGTACTTTAAAATGATTATTCGCAATTATCCGCATGCCTAGAACCTACCATTTAGAAAATTTTTGCTACGAGAATATTAACAGGTGTGTGCTTTAACTTTTTAATTATTATTATAATGTTTTAAAACTGTTGAGCACCATGGCGCGTTAAGAACAATTATTTGCAGATTTATACTAAAAACGTTATCCAGAGGCCACTACGTGTATAACTATGAGAACATTAACAGGTGTCTAATGTGTACTCTAACTTTTCAATAATAATTATGCTAATTTGAGAGACATGGGGATTAAAACTTTACCTTTTTCATAGCAAAAATATACTCGTAGGTACATATACTGTATATCTATCTACATGTATAATGGAAGACTTAGGACGGGACAGGGGCTCATCATGCCTAAGAAAGCGTTCGAAAGTATATATGTATCATCAAAATGACCCCAAAATCGTTCAAGAACATAAATCTTTGCCAGGTTTATGAACTGCTGAGAAACATTGGAGAGCCGCTTTGGAAAATTTTTAAATTTTTAAGTGGAATGTCATTGGCATTTGTTTAAATGAAACCGTCCCATTCAGATAAAAGTTTGAAAAGCAATTATCTAAAACAAGCACGTCCGCCGGCTACAGAATTCACTTCTCGTTGAGCTCGATCTGATGAGCCACAAGCCCCGGGCTCATTGTGTCCAGAATTAGAGCGATTGATCGGTAGAATAAGGACAGGTTCATTCGATTATTGTTAGATACTTTTTAACAAGTACAGCGATTGTTTAATCATAGTTAGCAAAATACTACAATTTAATACTTTGCTAATGTCAGCATATTAAATAACAACTCGAGAGCTTGTATTTTAATGAGGCCCACTTCAAACTTAGCACTGAAAATGCGGAAAATGCCACTTAACATAGAAAGTTTCAAGTTATGAAATATGTATACGTATGAAGGCCCCGTTATTACATAAAAGACAATCCGTTAGTTGTTCTCAACGCTTCCGGATCTGTGAAGTACAAGTACACCCTGGAGAGATAGATGCACAGTGCCGCAAAATAATTCATAAAAAATGTAATTTTTATGACTTTTATAATTGTTTCTTTAAAAAATATTCGAGCCTATCGAGCTTATAGCTTAGGTTTTTGTTTTGGAAAGTCATAACAGAACCGCAAATGGCTTAAATTCCGTTTTTAAATTTTGGCATATTTAAGAAACAATTTTTTGAAATTACTATTAACTATGTTATTAAGTATTACTTTTATTTACTTAAAAACTTATGCCACAAAAGGCCTTCTGCTTTTTATTTCAAATTTATCAAACTTTTTTCAACTTCCACAAATCAACCCAGTAATTATTGCAATATTTAATAATTAAGTAAATTTTCAAAAAAAATTTCAAAGTCAGCTGTAATTTGACAGTTTATTCTGAATTAAAAATTACATTGTTCTAAGTTTCTATAAATTTAAATTTTTTTCAAAAATCAATCAAGATAATCATTGCAATAATCCATAATTAAATTCATTTTTGAATAGAAACAAATTATTGAAAAATCCAAGTTGGACACAGTTCTTTATTCTAAATGAAATAATTTGGCATTAAGGATTGTGTGCAGCGCTGTTCCCGATTCCGAACTCAATTAAATATGCCGAAAGCTTAGATTTTGTAAGAGAGCTTAAGTCTCATGAACTAGCGGCCTGTTTATAATTTTTTGTTTTGCCCAAATGGCTGTTCCTAAGTCACTGTGCGAAATGTAATTCCTAGAAACGCATACATACGTATGGATTTATATGTCTGTAGGTTTGTAATTGTGCAAGTAACTCATAGGAAAATATGAGAACTTGACGTGTGTTTAGTAATAGCACCAGCCTCGACCTTGTTGTTGTGTGGCCACAGAAGCCGCCATAGCCATAGCCGCAACCACAACCACAGCCACAGCTGCTGTTGTTGCCGCCGTCGCTGATGTAATTTATTTTAAAACGCAATTGCAAAATAAGTTCGCAATATATGTATAAACAAATGGGCGGCGTAAAATGCAGCGCGCCAAGTGGTAAGAGGTTGGGGAGGGGGAGGGGGAGGGGGAGAAGTGCAGCGACAACGACGAAAACAAAATGGCAAGAGAACATGGAAGAGATGATGAAGGCGCGCGCTAAAACTGTAAAATGTGCATTAGAGTGGTCGCATTTTTGGGGGAAGTCGCAGTATTGTTGTTGTTTTTGTTCTTATCATGATATAAGCATCATTCAATTGTGGGGACGGTATCAGTCACCTTAAAATTGGCTTTAAAGTTTGTTTTCTTTTCTTTTCTTATTGTTGATTTGTTGTTTTTATTGATATTACTCATACGCCCGGTGTATGCGTTTTTGTTTAGATTGTAGTATTTTTGCAACGTAACGTTTGAATAATAAAAGCTGGGAAGCAAGTTTTTAAATTCTGTAATAAATGTTTGCGACTTCTCTGAAGCATCACATCGTCTACGAAATGGCTAAATATAGCGTGAGATTTTTACGGCGTCTGTCTGAGACAGAAAAACGGAAGATTTCATACCTCTCCACTTATTAGATGTCGTAGGTAGTCAGCGTTTTTTAATTAGCAGGTTGGGGAGCAACTCAAGCAAGTTACGCTTCATTTGTGTTTTTTGTTTGCTTTTAAAATAAATTTACGCTTTTATATTTAAGTTTATAAGTAAAATATTTGTAATATAAAATACATTCATAAGTATGTGTGTATACATATTTATATCTATGTATATGATATCGCTGTTGTCCATTGTTGGCTTTGTCGGTGGACGAGGGAGGACGGATGGACGGGATAATAGCAGCTGGGTAATTGCAAAGAGCTGAGAATAAACAATCGACCGGTAACACTGGCGCAGCGGCATCGTCGATACTTTGTAGTTAAGTGGTATTAGCGTATGTGCGTGTGTGTGTGGGGACATTGTTTATTTAACTTGTTGCATTTGTGTTTGGTTTGAAAGCGATGTCCACGCACCTCGCACACCTTTTGCCCTACGGTTTATTTGTTGGTCTGTTTTTCCGTTACAATGTAACGACATGATAAGCACCACCACTTGCATTTCAAAAAGCTCTCTTTACCCCCTCTCTCCGCGCTCTCTCGTATTTGCTCGAGCACTTAGACGCTCTCTGACGAAGTTGACCTTGGGTAGTGCAGAATTTAATTTAAACGACGAGTCGCAGCGGATTAAGTAACGTGATAATGTAACTATGTACATATGTATGAGGCTCGAGTGAATTGTTTGCATAAATATGTACACACTTATATATGTACATACTTATGATTGTTGCTATTTATATATCAGGAAATGAAAATATCAGACAGATAGGGGTAGGGGTCTCTCCATGCTTACAATGTAATATCAGCAGACATATGTATCTACATACTATATACATATACATACGAGGTCTGTTCAAAAGAAAGGGTGAATGTTGAATTTTGAATTTTCGCGCTCTGTGTACATTCGATTACCGAAATTTTTTTATGTTGGTACATACTATATACATATGTTTATCATATGTTGGTCTTGTCTGCCAATTTGAATTGGTAGTTTGTTGCTGACAACTGAAAGGTTAGTCACGTAAATGTGTTTTCTTCGAATTTGACTTTTGAAAAAATGGATTAAAGAATATGTATTAACAAAAACAACACTCAACCACCACATTCACCAGATTTGGCTCCCTGCGACTTTATCCAATTCCCAAAACTGAAGAGGCCAATGTGAGGAAAGCGTTTTGCCACAATTTATGAGATAAACTTAGAATCGAAGAGCGAGCTGATGGCCATGCCGAAAAGCGCATTTCAGAAGTGCTTCGAGGAATGGAAGAAGTGCATTATATCTGAGGGGGAATACTTTAAAGGGGACAAAATGGATATTGATGAATAAATAAATACTTTCCAAAAAATTGTAAAATTCACATTTTCTTTTGAACAGACCTTGTACATATATTGTCCATAGGCTGACTCATACCGATATTGCCCATGCCAATACAATTAAAAATATGTATGTATGCAATAAAAGAAATCAATCGCAAATGCTCATTTAACTTTTGTATGTACGGGTATATCCTATCTATATGAATTGAATTTAATTTAATAACCAAATGTATCAAAGCTTCAAGCTAATACGCTTTCTCGTTTAGAATTTTATTCTCTTTATTTACTTTCTAATCAAAATCCGTGGTAGGAATATCTTACAAATTCAGAATCCACAGAGCAACGGATTTAAGCTTTGTACATCGGTTCTGCTTAACGATGTCGAAATATACAAATGTATGTTAATAGTGAATGACCTTAATTAGGGAGATCGATTGGGTATAGACGTATGTTTTTTTTTGTATTTGTTTCTTTTTAACTAACAGTTCCATTTAGCACTAAGCTATGGACAATTCGAACCACAAAGGAGCCAAATGTGTACACATTTGATATAATAAGTTTTTACATATATGCTCGTAAGCTAGCCCCAAACTCCAACATCCTGCATATTCTCATTAAGGAATTTTTGAGCTTGTATGGGAATTGAAGAACAATTTTTCGTGTTGGGGCTTTTATTTACAAATTTGAATTCGGGGACTGCAATCATATCATATTTTTTAATCCGATTCCACTCAATTCACATACTTGAAAAACATAATCGCTTAACGCTTTCCTTTCTATTATCAAGATTGGACTTTGGAAAATTCAACACTGAAAAGAGCAAAATATGGGTAAAAATCTCATCCATGAAGGGTCTTAAAGCTTGAAAACAAAGTGCATGGATGTACTATGTACATATGTATGCACACTTTAGACGCTTTTCAACGAAGTCGAATAGAGGGCTTATAAATATCTATTTATAGTATTTTTATACAAATAATTGTGTCGCCTACACTCGCAGTGTTGCAACTTTAATCTGCGAACATGTTTTCTTTTTTTCCCCGTATTATGTTTTAGCATTTTTGTTGTAAACAAGAACAAAAACAGGACATTGATAAAAATACGTAGAAGTGGTGCGGCTTTGGCGACCCGTGTCGCGGCGTCCGGCGCCAGGGGGGGTAGATTTATAGCTTTGTTGGGGAGAGGGTTGGGGAGAGGGGTGGGCTAGGGGGGGTGGGGCGCGGTATTTACATCGTTAGCTGAATGTTGATGTTGGCATCGGGTAACGGTAATTGCAACGCGCTTGCTTCAATCAGCAGACGCACAGTGGGACAGATAAACAAGAGAGAGTCGGGTCGCACTCTGAATGGATCAATTTATGCGGTGGCGGCGACTCCCACGAGCCGCGCATGCTGTGGGTTGGGATGTTCGATGTGGGATGGTCGCAAAAGTGGGCACCGATTAGCACGGCCGGGGGCGTCCACGATAGTGGCAGTGGGCGGGGGAACACTTACCTATTTGAGAGCTGAAACATTTCCATCATCGTCTCGTGTGGGTGTGAGTGCGGGTGCTGGTGGTGCGGGTGCGGATGCGTATGCGGATGATGGGCATGGTGCGGATGATGCGAATGCATATGACTCGGATGCCCCGCATACGGACTGCCATATGCGCCATGTGCGTAACCGACGTACATGTCAGGCTGACCTCCCGCATCGTTAGACCCTCCAGCAGAGACATTGAACGGTGCGTTTGGATACCACATGTTGGCATTCGGATAGAAGCCCGGCAGCTGACAGTGCGTTGGTTGGGAATGTGCGTAGGTGGCATGGAGGCGACCGCTGTTACTTCCCGGCGGTTGCAGCTGCAGTTGTAAGACCGGACTGTGTGGCTGCGGCCCCGGCTGTGGCCTCGGTGGCAATGGCGATGGATAACTGTAGTGAAAGCTTGTATGTGAGGGCGGTCTCAACAATAGATCTCCATTGGGCTGTTTCGGCTTTTGGTAGTAGCTAGTTGTCGAACAGCTGTTTGCCGTATACGGCGAGCTATAGTCCGATCCTAGTACCGAACCACTGTCGTCCATATAGTTCTCATCGCTGGCATCCTGCACCTCGTCCCAAGACGTGTAATCGCTAAGCTCACACTCTGTCTTGGTGAATGGCAGCAGGGCAGAATCAAAGTTTTCGGGATTATCATCGCCACCATCAGCAACAGCATCAGCACCTTCAACACCTTCCTTGTCAGCGTGTGGCGGCTTTTGCTCAGCTTGCTGATCCTCAACGTACGGAATGTCTGATTTGAGATCCTCATCATCTGGTAGCTGAGTTAGATGGGACTTACTTGTGGTCGCCGTTGCTGTCTCTAACGTTCCTGCGGTTGCAGGTTCAATGTAGGCATCCAAAGCGTCCATTTCGTAGTGGGCTATAATGACATCAAACGAATCGAGAAAGTACATTATAGAGAGTGGTAAAATGTTCACGCCTGCTTACAAGTATAATCTCTCTCAAATAAATACCGACCCGACCGACCGAAAATTTCATTTTTTCAGTATAGACAACTCTTCAAGCAATAATTCTTACTTTCTATATTAGATATTAGTTAATTAGCCTCAATGAGTTGTGTCCTTCGTCACTAGCATGGACTACATTTCACAGATGTTCATAAATTATTCAAAATAAGAATGTATTAGTATTCTTAATGGGTTGTGTCCTTCGTCACTAGCATGGACTACATTTAACTGATGTTTAAAAAAGTTTAAAGAGTTAACATTAACATAAGTCGTAGGCAAAAGTATATAAATATTAGTCACTCAGTGCTGATGATTTGTGTTTTCGTCACTAGCGTGGACTCTGTTTCACTGCTGTTCGTAACAGAGTGGAACATTTTAAAGATATTACTTGTATATTTAAGTACATACGTATATTCAATTCAATGACGTTCCTATATAACATATACACATTCAGCATACAAAAAACTCTAGAAATATATTGTATATATATATATACTATATATCGCATAGATCTGCTCTATAAGTATGCATGTTATTATTTATAGGCAGTGCCTTTAGCATAATGACAAAAACACACACATATATACATATATATACACATATATATATATATATATTTAGACATAAAAATACGTTCATATACGTACGAGTATTGCTGTCCCATTACTATGCGAAATATTTTCCGCCTCTCTGAGTCACAAATAGTTTCAGTTTTAGTTCAGCATTGCTTTGGAAATTTTATGTGGCAATTACAAAATTTTGAAAACAGAAATTCTTGAAAAATAAGCCATAAAACTAACAGGGTTATAAAAATGTTGTTGTTTTGCAATTCTCCAACCAAAATACCTGTGCCAAATCGACTTGCATAGCTCGAAGGATCCCTTTGAGTGCCACCCCGTCCACCCCGACCCACCACTCCGCTCCCACACAAATCGAGTCTCGCTCTACTTCAGCAACAAGCCAGCCATAACTGATATATGTATACTTATACGGTATACCTCCATTGAAGCTACGAGCAAGCAGTCCGAGGTCATATCCACCATAAAAGTCTATTTCGGAAAACTGCAAAACAATATTTACTTGAAGTTAAGTTGTGCAACTGATTTGCTTTCTTCGGTTGACCTGTCTTTGAAAAGCTTAGGCTAATTAGTAACACACACACACACACACCAACCCATCATTTATTTGAACACCTGCCTATTTGCATTTGTTTATTTTATTCTATAAGCTTTCGGATAACAACAAATAAAAGTTCGCAACAAAATTTGGATTGAGGAAATCGATGAAGAATCAAATTAATTGAATGGAATATAAATCAGTAAATATCATCTACCGCAATATCGACTAAATAATCAACATATTATAGTATGTACAAACTAAATACAATTGGCAGTCCTACAAGCGACAGATTATCGCTAATAAAACCTATTCTTTCATCAGTCTTACATATCTCTTAAAAATAAGTAGAATGGAAAATTAATAAATAAATTAGCTAAAAATAGTATTAATAGACCGATGTCAGCTATAGAAAAAATTGAGAAAGTTCTTCATAAACTTGGTATGCATCGATAGGCCAATTTTGGTCTTTCTAGCTATTAGCTATTAGCTCAAAGGATCACAATGTTCATATAGGCGGACGAACGGATATGATTATATTCGATAAAGATACGTTTCGTCATGTGCTGCCTGTTTAGCTCCTTAGACTACAAATATATGACAATATATATACATATATAAGATTTGGTAACAATTGTTTTTTTTTGTAATTACCGATTGTTCGTTTGAAACGGCTGACTTATCGAAAAAAGGAATTACGATTATATAGCTTTCAGAAAAACAAGAACGACTCAGCTTCTTACGCAAATCAACATCTTTCCTATAAGAATAGCTTTGTGACGGTGGTTCTTTCAGCGTTTTGTAATACTGAAGTGTTTTAGGGTAGGTATACGACTATGTATATATTATGATATGGTAAATTCGATTTGTTAAGTGTGACGATAAATTAAAAAACAAGTCGAATGGTAGAGTTGCATACGGCTGTCTCTGAAATACCCTTTACCCGGCATAAAGAAGAAAATTGCAGTTTATGAATTGGTGGCATTACCTATTATGCTTTCCAATATTCTTATGTTCATACAGATAGACCAAGGATTCACAGGACTTTATTCAATTGGTAGGTTTTTGTCAGACATGCTTTAAAAAAGCTATAAAGAGCTATGTACTTCTATTTATGTACATTTGCCAAAAATCTATTGGCTGAACAAATAGAAATTGATTTTTACGCTCGACGTGATTATTTTATAAACATTAGGAATAATATTATGCAGTAGCTGAAAAATTCAAATATCTAAAATATTAAAAAAAGTTGATTAAAAGCTTTTCAGTATTAAAAAGGTTAACTGACCACTAAATAAAATTTCTTTCAAATTTTTCTAGGCTTCAAAATTCTAAATGGTAAACAATTTACCAATTGTTTTTGTAATATAATATTCAATACTTCGTAAGCTACTAAATACATCACGTACGTAGGTATATCTATCAGATTTTTTTTCCTATGCAATGCTTTGTAATGGTTAGGCTATGCTGAAACTTAGGTATGAATAAATGAGCTTCCCAAAAAAAAATTATAAAAAGAAATATCTAAAAAAATGTTTAATATCAGTAAAAAAAAGTATACAACAAAATACCAAACATATCTAAGAGGTTACGCAGCGTCACTAAAATTGATAATTTTGGAGTATTTTTACCATTAAAGAAAATATATATTGGTGTCATTACAATGATGTTCTAAATTTTATAATTTTAATTGTCCAAATTGTTTCTACATAAAAAAACGGAGTTTTGAAAGTAGTTAGAGGTAAGAGCGCTAAAGGAATACTAGATACTACCAAGGGCGTAGGCACCTTTTACCAAAGAGGGGTGCCAACAAATTAAAATTTTGATTAAATAATGCACGATGTATTTAAAAAATGAGAAAACTTCAACAAATCCATAGCAATAGGTTTTAAGGATTTCATAAGCATATAACAAGTTTAACACCAGATAATACATTGAATTCGAAGAAGAGAACATGTCCAATAGTGTATTTAGCCATGAAGCATTCTCCCGGACAATGTTGGTGGTTGGCCAAACACTTCTTGACTAGATCGTTTCGTTTAATTGCGCTGATTCTATGCAATTCTGATTCTGTCAAAATAAACATAAATAACGTTCCGCACACACACACACACACACACACACACACACACATTTGAAAACACACACACATATGCACAGGCGCTGGCATTGCGAAAATCATTAAATGCTTAAGTTACAGGCCACAAAACACAAAAACAACAACATAGAAAATAATAAAAATGGCAAACACAACAAGAATGGAATGCTAGAGTCGTGCCTGCTCGACTCTTAAAAACCCTGTATCCATTTCGCAAATAAATGGAAAAACAATTTTTTTGTGTATCAATTTCCATCGGGCTTGTGTCTGCTTTTGCTGAGCAGTTCTTTTCGTGATCCTTGCGATCATACATAAACAGGCGGCTATATCGACTCATATTTCTATAGTCATAGCATAGCATGTTGGAACGATATTTAAAATTTCCTATTTGAATGTTTGCATTTTGCATTTCCCCTCATTAATCTAATTACAAGTAAATTTAAATTAAATTTCCCCATCCATCATAGTACAGTTTTTTAATACCCTGTATATGAAATGTTGCCTATATTTATAAATGTCGACATTTGGCAGGTCGGGTGTCGAAAAGAACCATTTCGGAGAAGTTTTTAAATATTATAGTATGATTTAAAGAACCTTTTTATGCGTTCTAATCAGCATAAATCAGTTAAAAATCAAATGGAACTTAAAAAAAGTTAAATGAATTAAAAGAGAAATAAGCATATACACCTAATTCTGTTTTTACACGGTAGATTGGTTCCTAAAAAAGTCGTCTTAAAAAGAAAAATGCAAAATGAATCGTGCTAAATGGAATAATTACATTTTTTAATTTTCAGTTTTAAATCAAAACCGTGTAAGAAAGACCGTGTAAAACAGAATTAGGTGTACATATACTTCGTGTGGTCTGCCTTCTTCTGTATGTTACATACAATCACACTGAAGTAATATACTCTTCCATCCTTTCGGGTACAGGGTATATAAATGGCAAACAAAAAATCAATTTCACTTACATATTTTGCGTTCTATTGCTCTGCATGAAGCGTGTCTACTGTTGTTGCTGCTATTTCAGTTGTTGTTGTTTTTTTTTGTTGTTGCTGCTGCTGCTGCAACTCCTGTTGTCTGCTCTCTGGCTTTTGGGCGCTTCTTTGAAGCTTTTTCCTCTGCGCGAGCTCACGCACTCACAGCCGAGTTGCTGTCGCTGTCGCAGTCGTCGTAACAATCGCTTATCAACCGTTACTACCACTGCTGCTGCTGCTGTTACTTTTTCTGTTTTTCTGTTGGCTCTGCTGCGACGACCTCAGCGTTCGTTTAACTTTTTGTATTGCGTATTTTGTCCGCCTTTATTGTTTAATTGTTATTCACTGTGCCTGTGCCAGTGCCAGTGCCAGTGCCAGTGTTGTGCGTCGCTCTTTTTTTCTCTTTCGACTCGAGTGCTGCTTTTGCTCCTGTGGGAGTGGAGGGGTTGGGCGGTGCTTTTGCTCACACTGGGAGTACATATGTACATAAATATTTAGATTATATGTATTTTTTTTTTATTTTTGTCACTGTTATGTATTATGTTGTTGTTGTTTTAGTTGTACTTGTAAATGCACTCGCGTTTGATTTGAGTATTTTGTTGTTGGTAGAGAATTTGTTTGCGACTTTTTACATATGTATATACATATGGTACGTACATACATATATATTATTTTATTTACTTCTGTTGTATTATTTATTTTATTGTACTTACATACATAAGCACACGCATAGAGTTACATATAGTACATATGTATGTACTACATACAATGTATTTAGGTTCTTGTTTGTTTCTGTATTGTTTTATTTCTCTTGCTGCTTAACTTGTTTATTTTACTTGTTTCTGCATTGTTTGTATGTATGTATACACACACACACATACCTACGTCGGTAGTCTGTACAAACAATTTATAAAATAATTCTCTTATACATTTTAATACTTTACTCATAAATTGTTTTTACTTTCTTGTATCTTTGCTCACTGTGGTTGTTGTTGTTCTCTTTTCATTTCTTCTTGTTGTTGTTGCTGTTGTTGTGGTGTTTCTTTAAAATTTGTACAGCTGTTGCAATGAAGAGGTATTTGTTGCTCTTTGTTTTTGTTATTTTTGCATGCCTCGACTTTTGCAATGTTTCATTTATTGTTGCTGTTTTTCGCTGCTATAATAAATTGTTATAAGCTGTACAATTAAAAAAAATTTAAAACTTTTTCTTAACGTTTTTTTTTTCACTTTTTTAAGCACGTACATAAGTATGTACATATGCTTAAAAGTATATATGTATGTATGCGTATATGAAATAAGCATTTACATATGTATGTACGTAGGCCTGCTTAAGACCACATTTCTGAAGTTTTTATATTTATACATATGCCCAGAGAAATAAACGAAGGCAAGAAGAGTCTCCGCTAATGTCGGAAAATGCAATTTTTAAAGCTAATGCACCGATTTTGATAAAACATTAAAATGCGTCACAGCAATTTAAGCTTAAAAGCATCAAACTTCTTTAGGATACCATTCCTTCAACAAAGTTATACTGGTAAAATGATTTTTTCCATTGACCGGTCCTGTGGCAGCATTATAATCTAGCTTACCGATTTTCATAAGACTTCAGATTCCAATAAGCCCCTTATAAATGAAAGCTTTGGTTAAGATATCTTTAAAAACAAGAGGTATTTGGTACTAACAGTGATTTTTTTTTATATATATTGATATATGTATACTCTTTCAGAGTTCTTTTCCCAACAATTTTCATATCAGTCTATTTTTTCTGGGCTCTCTAAGCATGAAAACCCGTTCCATACGACTTCAGTTCGGAATTATTTGTTTTTATATCGCCTCGAAAAAATTCTCAAATAACCCTTCATACAATCAAATATTTACCCAATAACTTTCAATTCAATTCTTATTCTCTAGGTTCCCTAAAGGCGTTCAATTTCTCTCAGTACTCTAAACAAGAAACCCCTTTCCTTAGTGGTTCAGTTCGAGGAAATGGGATTGTTTGTTTTTATGTCGTTTTCAAAACAAACAAACTGAAGAACATACGTGTTATTGAGGAACTCTCTTTATGAGCTCATGTAGAAGCGGTTTCTGTTTCCCCATTTCTCCATTTACATGAAACCTGCTATACTTCCTTTCATATGCTTTATTTATACACAAACACTGATACGAAATAAGTATATATACGAGTATGTACAGTTTTGGGTACAGGGTACGATTTCAAAAGCCAAAAATGCTGTGCACTTTGTATTCATTTCAGATTTTGTCCCTCGAACATATATTTTTTTAATTTATTTGAATTTACATTTTGCTGTTTTAATTTCTGCTTCATTGTTTTTGTTTTCTTCTGTGTGTGTGTTTTAAAAATTTAATGTGCTTTAAGATTTTAATGGAATTTGTCTTTTTAATGTTGTTTTTGTTGTTGACCGCGCCGCCTAATTCTTGCGGTTTCAGTTAATTAAATAAATAGTTGAATAAATTTGTGGTTTATTTCCCCCAAAACAACAGAAAAATGTTATTCTCCACCTGTAGATATCAGCATACATACGAATGTATGTCCATATAATGGAACGGAGGCCTGGCAAATGGCTCACTACGATTTATATTCGAAAATGCGATGTAAAGTCTATCAGTCAGGGAGAGACAGAGAGAGATCTTTGACATGACTACCTACAATGGCTAGAAACAAACAAGCTTCGCCTCTAGACTTTACTTATCTACAAGTATACAAGTAAAGAGACATTTTTATGACAATCCACATAGCAGAGGTTAGTATTTTATATCACAAGATATAACGAGGAATAATCGTTCGAATAATGTCTCAGTTAGAGATATAAAAGATATTTATTATGAAATATTTCTAGTATTATTATTTTAATCAGCTCACTACCTGAATTTAATGATTCTTTAAGAGCCAGTGGCTATTTTAAAGATTTACAGAGATTTCAGGATTATAGAAAATAATGTACTGTGGCACGCACAGCAAAATCTACGATGTAGCATAAAATCTAACCAAATTTCTAAAAATATAATAATTTTAATAGTAACAAAAAAAACTTCGTTTTTATAATAAAAGTCGTTTTTTGTACCAAAAGAAGAAATTCAATTTTAGACCAACACGTTTTGCCTTTACATTCGATAACAATACTTTTATGACGTAAGTTTTTGAACATTATCTTAAAAAGGGTTTCCTACCATGTATGTACACGCTTCCAATTCTCTTTGCCAAATTAGTTCTTCTTTTATATAAGCGATAATCTTATGCAATATGTGTGTTCTCATCGACTCATAAAGTAGAAGATCACAACCATATGGTCATCATTTAAATAATTCCAGTTGTTAAATAATAATAGTATGTTGAGAACATATGTTGGAGCATATTTTTGATCGATCAAGCCCATCTATTTGACATATAAAATATATAAAGGAATAAATATATTTACAAATGCCTGAAAACGCCAGAGAAACAAAATGTTGTTTATCTCTGGCTTTCAAACGTATACAGAGCTCAGAACATTCATATCTGCAGACAGGCGAACACAGCTAGTTCTGGGAATGTCTGGGACTGTCTGGGAATTTAGAAATATTTGTCTATGCAAACATATCTCGAATAATAGAAACTCTGGCACACTTTTAATGAACTACTGTCTGTTCAGCAAAATTCAGCAGAAGAATTTGCAAAGAAAATTGCAAAACTCTCCAGCTAATACTTATATACTTATAGTTATGTATACTTTACTGGAACAAAGGCCTGATATTAGGACTAATACATATTCGTTGAAAATTAAAAACATTCAGAGTTCTTTGAAATTATTGGGCAGCAATATTATTTCCTTCAGAAACCAGCAGCAGACTTAGGACTTGGGTTAGTTTCTAATAATAATTACAGATTATAAGCTTGGCTTTACAAATCTCACCCCGACTCTGCAACACATTTTTATGTTATTCTATCCACACCGATTATAGTTTTTATTTTCTTTATTATTTTCTACAAATTTTGTCAATTGCGATAATTCCACTGGCGAACAAACTTCACATAAAACATCTATACCAGAAGTAAAAATAAATAAATAAATGCCCAACTATAGCTGCCTTACTTGTTTTTATTTTGTTCTTTACTTTTAAATCTATTTTTTTGTTATTATTACAAATTATGTGTCAGAGACTCAAATTTTGGAAAAACAGCAGTGTTTATATTATAAGTAGAATTTACTAGCCAGAACTATTATTTTGAATAAATATAACATTTGTTTTTTTTTTTTTAATAAAAATTGTCTGTCGCTCTCGACAGTCGTTTCAATAAATAAATAAAGTAAATAAATATGAACAATAAACAAATCAAAACAAACAAACTAAGATAAAATCATTTTGCGTTCTTGAAACGGGAAGGGTGTTATAACTATAAAGAGGCCCTTGAATGGCCCGAATTTGGTGAACTTTTATAGAAACGCAAAGGGAAATGAATTTCTCTATTTTGTGTGATTTGTGTGAGAAATATTGAAAAGCATCAAAGGGCCTGCAATATATGATTTAGCTAAAAAGCTAAACATAAATCTCATTTTTACACGTCGTATGAGTAATAGTATGTATAGAAAGCAACCTGAAGGCCTCCAAATTTAATGGCTTGGTTCTGTTAATACGTATATTTAACAAATCTAAAATGGAAACTTGTAAGATGGTGGTGGTGGGAGCCACAGTTTTCGACCTTCAAATTAGCGACCACACACTCATATATACATATACATACATACATACATATGCATGTATGTATATATATTTGGTTTTTTGATGTTTGTGTCTAAATGAGTGTGTGTGTGTGTGCGATGGAATGAAATGGAAGTTATATTTGGCTCGTTACTGGTGGTAAGCCAAACACAATTCACGGATTGCAGATGCCACTGTTGCTGAGTCGTAAATGTTACACAAACACACACTCACACACACATATGTATATACATACATATATATGTTTATACACATACAAGGACAAGGCGCGTCGCATTCGTTTAGCAACGAGCACGAACAAGTCACGACAGGCCACAATTTGAGCGCGTCGCAACATCAAACGTCGTTGTCGCCGTCGTCGTCGTCGTCGTCAAGGCAGGAACAAAGCCACCATCAGCAGGATGAAGAATTGGAGTTGAGTTGTGCGCAAGCCTCGCCATCAAGTCTGGGAGTCGGAGTAGAGCCGACAGTTCTTCCACATAAGGCACGAACACTTCTCAAACCTGTCAAAATATTGCGACCTGTACTATTTGCTTGGATTGTTGCTCGAGCTTTATTTATATTTACGCGATGTGTGTATGTGTGTGGGTGTGTGGGTGTTGGTGTGTGCTTGTTATGGTTTCTAGGGATATGTAATAGCCAGAAAAACAGCATAAGCACCAACTAGGAATGGGGTGCGTTGGCAAGCGCGGTATGATCCGAAATTTGAAGCATTCATTCAACTTCATTAATGACACCCCATGACACCAGACTAGAAATTAAACTCAAAACCTAACTTGAAATTCTAGAGCAGTTAGGCAGAAAATACAATTGTTGTCATCATGTCTCACAATCAGGCAAAAGGTCTAGTCTAGCGTTTAGTGCAGTGTCATAAGTCCAACTCTAGAATTCCAGAATTGTAGAACTGTTTAGAAATGAGGCAATTCCTATTCCCCGAACTCGCTGTTTATGCACTTGTTTAAATTA